CCTACTGGGGAGGGCTGGGGAGAGGAGGGTGGCCGGGTGGAGAGAGAGAGAGAGAGAGAGAGAGAGAGAGAGAGAGAGAGAGAGAGAGAGAGAGAGAGAGAGAGAGAGAGAGAGAGAGAGAGAGAGAGAGGCTCCGCGTGGAGCGAGTGCAGCGGCTGAGGAGAGCCCGTCGTCGTGTGGGTATGTACGGTGTATGTGTTCTGTCTATGTGTAGGCGGGTGTGTGTCCGTGTGTCCGTGTGTGTGTATGTGCAGGTCGCGGCTTCCTCGTCGACGATGGCACAGGCACAGGGCAAGCGCGATAAGAGGGGGGAGGGCGCGCGGGAAGGGGGAAAGGGGCGGTCGCAAGTTTGTCGCGAGAGTTGTCGCGCAGACACCGCAGAGGCAAGAAAGCACTACGGGCGAGGGCACTGGAGAGAGGAGGACGAGGAGATGTGTGGGTGTGGGTGTGTGGGCGTGGGTGTGTGTTAGGGAGAGCTTGGATCATGGGCTTGGGATGAGGCTGGTTCGCTAAGGCGGGCGGAAATGAGACGCCGTCTTTGACCGTCATCAGCGCCAAAGAGGCAGCAAACAACCGCCTATTCCGACGACAGCACACGGGCGTGGAGTGCTCACTGAGGGCGTGGGCATCAGAACACACATGGGCCAGGCAGGCCCAGTCTACGTCTGCCATGACTTGTCACTTGAAGGTTGTAGATGGGACATGGACAACAAAGGGAGGCTGGACATGGCATGGGGGCTACACGGCTATGGCTCGAGAGCGTTGGTAGGGACAGTAAGACTACTATAGTGGGCTTTCTTTGCAAACCCCCCTCTTGGGGCTAAGGGAGTCGTCACTACTGGTATACCTAGCCCGACAGACGGTCGACTGTCCTGATGAGGGATGATGGAGAATGGAGAATGGAGAAATGGACGAATGGATCCATCCCTCATGGTTCCCTCTCTCCCATGTCCAGACCCATTGTCTTGTGTACTGTGAATTGTACTATCGACTTGTCTAGCACGAAAGCGTGCTAGCGGGCCGTCCGCACAGCAGCGAGCCTGTACCAGTCCAGTCCAGTCCAGTCCAGTCCATGTACTGTACTTGGATGTGTAGTAACTATGTACCTACGTACTCCTTGGAGGACCTGTCAGTGCCTGGGTACCCTACTGTGTAAGTAGTCCAGCTGTAGGTACTTGGGCTGGGGGGAGGCAACTGGCAATTACCCATCCATTGACCAACCTTTTTGGCCATTCAATAGTCTTGACCTAGTTACTTTACTGTACCTGCCCATTCACTTCCCACCTACCCACCTACCGCACTGTGTACCTAGTCGCAGCCCTCCATCCTGGCCATGCGGCGGCCATTTGTGCAGCCCATGGCCTTTTTGCAGGAAGAGAAGAGGAGAGGGCAGAAGAGAGAAGAGAAGAGAAGAGAAGAAAGGCACAGGGGGACAGCTGCAGTGACTGCAACCGTGTAGCCGCCCGTCGTAGAGTACCGGGGGAAAGCGGAATAAGCGAAATAAGCGAAATAAGCGAATCCTCCGCCAGCCTATCAGACCTCTCCAACCACCAGCCGTGAGCAAACACCCTTGACCGACTGGAGGTGCCCGCACACTTTGCACTAGTCCACTTTCTGGCTAGCGTACCGGCCATCACATGTGAGCCCAGGTGCAGCATCCCGCTAGCACATTCCTGCTCACAACCTTGCCAGTCATCAAAGAGCCCTCTTTTACGATGAAGTTAACTTACTGTTTATACATATATATATATATATATATATATATATATAGATGCATGGAGTACGACACATTCACGGCAAAACCAATTGAGCCGTGTGTGAGGAAGCAATACCAAGTACCGTTGCTGTCCTGTCCAAAGTCCCCCTCGATCGATGCAAGCCTTCTATCAAGCCATGTACAAGTATGTCAAAGAAAGTACAAGTACTCTAGAGTAGACCAAGTACAAGTAGTGGATGCCCATCGCCAGTTGCAGTAGAGTAGTAGACCCCTTGGACCTTGGTTTGTCGTGCATCATCCACTCCTTTTGCTGGACCCTTGCAGCCTTGGCCAGAGCTCAGCTCCCCCCGCCACCTCCCTGGCCTAACACACACGCACGCTCTCTCTCTCTCTGTGACGCCATTCACAAGTCCCATGGTTGCCTAGCTGGCCTACTCTCCCTGGCCCTTCCTTTGTCCTTGGGATAAACGCGACCTCCTCAGCGTATCCACACCAAACCATTCCCCTCATCCGTCTCGGGCGCTCACCATGAGCGACGCAAACCCTGCCCCGCACCACGAGCACGACCCCACCACTGCAGACGTAAACGGCTCGAAGGAGCAAGACCAAGACGACCACAAGCCACGAGATAGCAAGGGCTGGGATGGGAAGCTGCGTCTTGACAAGATGACGTTGGTTGATGAGCCGCGCGATCCGCACGCCCAGGTCGTCAGCGACCCAGAATCCGAAGACGAAGGGCCTCCGCCGGAGCAGCTGGCTGCAGACGAGGATCTGCTAGACGACACACCAGAAGACGAAGACGAAATCGAGTTGGTACACTGCAAAATCTCAGACATGGACTCCCTGCGCCTGGAGCGATTCAAGCAGATGAAGGTATTGACTTCCTCTCCCTCCCGCATCCGGCCACAATCTAGGCCAGGCTAATACGATGGGAACCCCCGCAGCGCCTCTGCCTTCGTCAAAATCGCATAGAAAGCATTTCTATTCCTGCAGACGCTGCCGACACGCTGACCGAAATCGATCTCTATGACAATCTCATCTCCCACATCAAGAACCTCGAACCTTTCACCAATCTCACCTCGCTCGACCTTTCCTTCAACAAGATCAAGCATATCAAGCGCATCAACCACCTCACCAAACTCAGAGACCTATACTTTGTGCAAAACAAGATTGGTAAAATCGAGAATCTAGAAGGTCTGACCAACCTGCGGCAAATCGAACTCGGGGCGAATCGCGTTAGAGAGATAGAGGGCTTGGAGACATTGACAGGACTAGAAGAATTGTGGCTGGGCAAGAATAAAATCACTGAAATCAAGGGTCTGGACACCCTTAGCAATCTGAAGATCCTATCCATCCAATCCAACCGCCTGCGCTCCCTATCCGGCCTTTCCCATCTCACTTCTCTTGAAGAACTACACGTTTCCCACAACCTCCTAACCTCCCTCTCTGGCCTCTCTTCCAACGCCAATCTCCGCGTCATCGACATCAGCGCGAACCCGATTGAGCACCTTGCCGGTCTGGACGGTCTCAACCATCTCCAAGAGTTCTGGGCGAGCAATTGCAAGCTAGGCGATTTCAGAGAGATTGAGAGAGAGCTGCGAGACAAAGAAGAGCTCGAGACTGTGTACTTTGAGGGGAATCCATTGCAGAGACAGCAACCAGCCTTGTACAGGAATAAGATTAGACTGGCATTACCCAGAGTCGTGCAGATTGACGCTAGTAAGTCGCACCTTTCCTGTTTTCTCGAGAAAGAAAATCATCGCATTCTTCTATCCCTTTCCGGTATTCCAATCTGAAGTGAATGGAGATGTATTAATACCATGGTAGCTTTTGTCAAATAGGTCTAGGAAGGCAGGTCAACGGGCCCGATAGTTGGAACCGGGGATGCATGCCAAGGCCTTTTGATACTAGATGGAAAAGTGATCACGACGAGGAGCATTTTAGGGCGTTGATATATTATTCATTTCAGCAAGGCATGGCATGCATATAGGACACGACCGGATATACCCAATGTACATAAATGACTGTCACACGACCTGAGATATACCCATTGTACATGAATGACGGTAGCTCGATTCTCACTCGCACAGACCTGAGTGAAACTCCAAAACCTTACATGACGGATCATAATTGACTTCTTCTTGGATCCATTCCACTTTTGACGTACCTCATGCCATGCACCCACAACCAATGATGACGAGGAAAAATGACCAGCGCGAGACCCAATCAACCCTTTTCCCCATCTACATGATCAAACAGAAACAATGTACCTACGCCCATTCCCATGTCTTGTTTTTCCAAAATTCAGGTATCATAACTATATCCTCCTCCTTTTCGTCATCATGAGGAGACATGTCCCCCCCCCTTTCTAGAAGCTTGCATCACCGTTCCTCCCGAGCCCACCCACGCCGTTTGCAATACCCTCGGCCGGAACGCCATTGACGGCGCCATGCTGGTAGTCCTTTGTGATTTTCTCCAGAATGCCAGCGCTGGCAGCAATGAAGCCAAGATAAGGACGGCTGGGATCCAAGACTCGAGACAGGTACTCTGGGTGGAACTGCACACCGACAAACCATGGGTGATCTTTGATCTCAATCACCTCCATTCGCACGCCTGCTTCATCTTTGCCCACGAAGCTGAGCCCGCCCTTTTCCAGCGTCTCAATGTAGTCTGGGTTGACCTCATATCGGTGACGGTGACGCTCGAGAATTTCATTTTTGCCGGCGTAAAGCGCACGAAGACGTGACCAGTCACTGCCGGGTTGGAACAGCGTCGGACGCAGACCAAGACGCATCGAGGCGCCCATGGTCGTTTTGTCGACTTCTGGCATGAACATGATAAGCTTGTTCGCGGCGTCGCCATGAAACTCCTCGGATGTTGCATCCTTGATGCCGCAGACGTTGCGCGCATACTCGATCACAGCGATCTGCATACCAAGGCAGATACCCAGATAGGGCTTCTTGTTTTCCCGTGCCCATTTCGCCGCGGAAATCATGCCTTCAGTGGCACGCTGACCAAACCCACCGGGCACCAGGATTCCAGAGGCCTTGACAACCTCATGCCACGCGTTGTGGAACTTGGCCGGATCAGAGTGTTGGCATTTTGGCTCGAGGTGATCGGAATCCACCCAGCGGATGTCGAGTTTCCTTCGGCACCGCATGGTCGCGTGCTCCAAGGACTTGATGACCGAGAGATAAGAGTCTTGAAGCTCGACGTACTTGCCGACCAAAGCGATTGTGACTGAGTCGTGATAGCGGGTGTCATGGCCTGTGAGTGATTGCCACTGAGCCCAGGTGTGGTGGCCTTTTTGTACCATGGCGTGGGATATGGCCGTCTTCTCCAGGTCAAGGAACTGACGGACCATAGGAATCAACCGTTGCTGCTCGAGCAACATGGGAACTTGGTAGATGGAAGGCATATCCTTGACGACCAAGACCTGCTCGGTCTCTACCTGGCAGAAGTGGGCAATTTTTTCGACAGCCGAGGCCTCCAGTTCGCACTCGCAGCGGCAGGCAATCTGAGCAAAATTAGCACCTGATGATATCGAGGCTCACATGCTTGCTGGTCCGGGTGGCTGAACATCTACAATGCGGGAAAACGTACCAGGTCAGGAATGAGACCGTTACTCCGAACCGCCTTGATAGCTTGCTGTGTGGGTTTCGTCTTCTGCTCTCCATGAATGACGGGCACGTACGACACGTGAATCTGCATAAAGTTGTTCTTGCCCGCGCGTCTCCTCAATTGACTCATAGCCTCGATGAAGGGCATGCTCTCGATATCACCCACTGTGCCTCCCAACTCAATGATGCAGACGTCGGGCTCCTCACCCGAGTCGTCGACGGGTATCCGGGCAACCTTCTCGATCCAGTCTTGGATCGCATCGGTGATGTGAGGGACGACTTGTACAGTCTTGCCCAGATAGTCGCCCTTGCGCTCGCGCTCAATGACATGCTGGTAGATCTTGCCCGTGGTAATGTTGTTGTCACGGGTAAGGGTGATGTTGAGGTAGCGCTCGTAATTGCCGAGATCGAGGTCGACCTCGCCGCCATCGGAGAGGACGAAGACTTCGCCATGTCTGAGGCATCGTTTAGTGTATGCCATAGCAGATTGTACAATAAACAAGGGTGACGCACTCCTTGGGGTTCATGGTCCCCGCATCGACATTGAGGTACGGGTCGACCTTGATGGACGAGACGTGCTAAGAAGTCAGTATGCACTGCGTTGCGCGTCAAGTCTCTGCACTTATCTTGAGGCCAATCGTCTTGAGCAGGAGACCTGTCGAGGAGGCTAGGAGGCGTGAGATCAGCGGGGTGTCGTTGCGTTGGAGGGGCTCTCGCTACGAGACGAAGGATGGTGGGTAGGGAGACCTGGAGACTCTGGACATGCTTCTTCTCCCCAACATTACCAAAACCAAATCAAAAGAAAAAAGAAAGAAAGAAAAAAAGAAAGAAAAAAAGAAAAAAGAAGGTCTCGTCTGTCTCCTGTAGAAAATCGCCAGGCCACCTCGTCCTCTTCACCTCGCACTCGATTGCCCACTGTTTTTCGCTTGCAACTTACCAATGATGCCCTAGATTTACATATTAGTCTTGGGATCAACGAGCCACTTGCTCCCTGCAGCTTACCTTCCCCACGCCGCTGATGACGCCGCCAGACACGAGCACGTATTTCATGATTGCTTTCGGTGCCTGGGTTGGTTGTGGGGAAGGGGAAGGAAAGGAAGAAAGTCTAAGTTGCGAGGCGCGTCAAAGAAAATCGAGTGGTAGCGCAAGGACCCCTGACGCACAAGAGTGGGGCTGGCCAGCTAGCCTCGTAGGGAAGCTTGACCTGAAGCCTCATACAATGCATATTCACTTCTGTTCGAGGCAATACAAGGCTTGTTCTTCACGCTCGGACATGGTCATGATGGCAGTCAAAAAGGTTTGCCCTGGCTGATCTACCGATATTCCTTGTAGGAAAAGAAAACTCAAAGTCTACACGTTGGGCCACCACCACATCACCGGCGTCGTCTCCACCTACAGCATCCATGCCACTCCTGAACAAACGCAACGGAGCTTCATTTTTGGTGAGCTTATATGGGGAGAATCCGCTAGCAGCCTGAAGTAGATTCGATGCCATCTGATCATACAAGGGCCGATATCTAGCACCACGAAGCAGACATGGCTCGGCTAGATAATAACGCAAAATAGGCTCCGAGCATCTTCAGCTTAATCGCGTTACATCAGAAAGTATCAGAAAGTACATGGAGTGTCAGCAGGCAGCGAGTGCTCTGAAGAGAGTTATGCTTTCGTTGCGAGAAACATGCTATCAATTGGTATCGTGCTCTCGTCCACCCAGCTAGTACTGAAATGCATCGTACCAAAATTTCGCCTTTAAAATTGGGTTAGTCGTCGTTTGTATAGGAGTGCATCGAATGCTACGCGTACGCTCGAGAGGACGTTGTCGTCTCCGCCAGCCAAGGAAACGAAAACGAAAAGCGACTCATAATGTCGTAAGGATGCAAGATGAACAACTGCAAAATAATGCTCCAGATATCCTCCCCCAGATATTAGCTATGTCACCGGAAGCGGTAAATGATGCTCAAGAATTTGTCCAGGTGCAGAATGCACACAAGGTGTGGTCATTAGTCTCTCCGACGTCGCTTTTGTTCCTCATCATCAATACTGTCGTGTTCCTGGCTTGTGGTAAGCCTTTTGCGGGCCAGGGCCTTCTCGTTGCCCTTCTTCACTTGAATGTTGCATCCTTGCAACTTGAGCGCCCTGGTCAGAGCACTGCTGGGCCGCATCCCAGGAAAGTCTTTGGCGGTATAGACGGTGAACACATCGCTCAGAACCTCGGTAAGGATGGGTGAAAATCCACCGACGTGGAGGTTCATGGGATCGATGCGCATAAGTACGAATCGAAGTCTGTATTTTCCGTGTGTGCGGCAGGAGAGGTCCGGGAAGCAGAAAAAGCAGCCTTCGACGTCGTGTTCGTCCTTTGCAACCGAGGGTGATGCCACCAGCTGACCCATCAGTCTGCGCGTCGTTCGTCTATCCGGCTGTACGAGCGCAGTCTCCTCATTTGTACCTTCCGCGTTCCATAACGTGCAATGGACCACATTGAGCGAATACCGAAGCTCTTCTGGCTCCGCAGCACCAGTCTTGGGATCTGTTACCAGTAGCTGGATGATCGGAGGAGGGTCGATAACTCTTCGATCACGTTCCCCAAATCCGCATGCCCGGGCCGCTATCGGTTGTTGCCGCACACGAAGCTCATAGTTGAGATTCCTGTATCCTGTTAGCTGATTTCTATATATTTTGGGAGACAGGCTACCAGAATGCTTACAATTGTTCGTTATATACGGGCTGCGGTATGGAGCCTGGTAATGGGATTGTGCGTGACTGTTTCCGGGGTGGAGGGGCCGCTGCAGGAGGCTCAGAATAAGCCACCGATCTCAAGGGAGCCGCTATGGAACCACGCTGCGAGTGTTGCAGTGAGCCAACAGATCCCCGGAATGGAGTACTGCTTGACGCATAGCTCGGCGCGTATCCAGGTGACGGGAGTGGGGCATATGCTCTTTGCTGCGAGTGCTCTACTGGTGATGCAAGGGACGAATACGGCTGCTCATGGTGCTGGTGTGCATGTGCATGTTGGTGTGGATGCGGTTGTGGAGGATGGGAGTTTGAGTGTGAGTGTGAATGTGGGTGTGGGTGTAGGTGTGGGTGCGGTTGCGAGTGTGGGTGGACGTGTGCATGTTGTTGAGGGTGGTGCTGGACATGCCGAGGTTCTTCGTAGGTGTAGTGTTGCTCAGTCAATCTCCTCGGTCCTCTACCGTCATATTCGGAGCGAGGTGAGATGGGAGGTCCATACTGTTGCGGAGAATAGGGCGGATTCGAGTGGGGAGGGGTATACTGGTTGGGTTGTTGCAATAACAACTTTTCGACAGGTGCCGCAGCGGGCCTATGTACTGTCGTTGGCGGCTGGTAATCGTGCCGTGGAGGCAATCCAGAATGGATTGAAGGCAGTTGGGTGTTGCTGGGTGAGCGGAATTGGCGGTCCGACCGTGGTGGTACAGCGTTTGGTGGAATCTCTAGTGGTTTGAGCTGGTCAAGCGGGGGCAATCGCCGGTGAGGAAAATCCAAGAAGCCCGGCGGCGAGAAGACGGGAAGCTTTTGCGTCTCTGTCATATCTGAAGGTGGGCGAGAAGTGTTTGGCAAAGGGAGCGATGGAGGAGGAAGAGGTGGTTGGGACATGCGTGTATTATTATTTGCCCGAACCAGGACACGATGCACGAAGCCGCATTGGGAGCTGTACTTGTGTTCACTTCGGAGGCTCTTTTTGCAAATTGGGGGCGCCAGGGAGTGGTGCAGTGTTGGACAGGACGTCAGGAATGCGGGCACTGCCTCGAGTGTGGCGGCGTAAGAGGTTTATAGTTCAACGTCCCCTTGTAGGCGACGGTGCACGTATCTGGATCGCCCACAGCCCGATCGCCGCCCGGCTGCTTGAATGCAGTAACGGTGCGGTTTGGGTGGGAGGCGCTCAGACGCCTTAAAACAACGGCCGCCCGGGAGAGGAAGAGGTTGCAGACGGGGGGGGGAGGGGGGGAAGGGGTGTGGACTGCCAGAACCCTGTTCACTTGCAAGCCTCACGACCAGGAGGAGAGGGAAAGCGGGAATAGGAATGGCAGACCAGGAACCTACCGAGACGACTGGCAGGCTGAGTTAGCCGGCTCGGAGCATAAAATGGGCCAGGAGAGCGACCAAGTAAAAGTGCAGCCAGCAAGCAACGATGGGCGCGGCGCGACGTGTGGATCCGAATGCTTGGCAGACAGGCGGCGGACCCCAGATTCTTTGACGTCGTCTCGCGGCCTACATATAGGTAGTAGAGTGGTATGTAGTAGTCATGGTACTTGACGGGCGGGAGATGTGCACACAGACACAGACACAGACACACACATCATAGACACAGGACATACACAGTACACAATCCGCCTGTGCTGTTTAATCCTGGGCTTGGGCGCCGCCGTTGCTCGCGGGCTGTTGTTGCATTTTCGTGGGGCGCCACCAATTGCGCTCTCTCTCTCTCTCTCTCTCTCTCTTTCTTTCTTTCTTTCTCTCTGTCTGTCCATGTCTTCCATGTCAGTCTCTGTCTCTGTCTTGTTTCTGCTCTTCTCGCCCGGGTAAAAGAGAGACAAATAGCAACAGGGCAGGTTTCGCAGACCAGCAGTGTTTTCGAATCAGACCGGGCCAGGTTGTTGCACACGGTAACCTGGCGGCAGCCAATATGGGGTGGGGGGGGGCAATCTGCTACGGTACTGCTAGGTATAGATTGCCCACGTCCACAACTCGGTCGACGGGCACCGTTGAGCGGAGGTAACATCGCGAAAGTGGCTGGCACGGTGCTGCAGCACACATCCTGGACGGGCCTTTCTTGACTCTGCTTGAACTGCCCCATGGCGGCGTGTGCCAATGGCGAGCCCTGGCCCAGCGGCTAAAAGCGATCGCAGTGCTGGCAGCCTGGCACCCGCTCTCCGCGCGGCCAGCTGGGCCACCGTTGGCCTGCCTGTTCAAGTGTTTCCTGCCTGTGGAGCGGGTCAAACGCTCAGCGTGGCGAGGCCAGTCACAACCGTCGCCCATTTCCGGGGTTTTGGATGCCTGCGCGACGTGCAGGTCCGTCGCATGCACCCAGCGGTTCCATGACATGAGACACCCCCTTCCACACCTGGCTACCGGACTCAGACGTGACGGACGCGGCCGCCAGGGCTGGTCGGTGGCGTGCGCTTGTCCTGACGAGGCCGTTGCTGGTCTCGAGGCCGTGGTCGTTAATAGCACTCGTTAAGAGACAGCTTCCATCCAGCTACCCGTCACCGCCTACCGCCAACTGCCTATTGCACACTGCACACTGCACACTGCACACTGCACACTGCAGCAACTCGCGTGCGGACCATCCGCCATAGCTGGGTGGTTGGCTGTCCGTCTGTCCGTCTCCGTCTCCGTCTCTGTCTGTCTGGTGGGCGCTCCTGTCATGGGGCCGCAGACGAAGGCGTCGCGAGCATGACCTACCTGTCTCTGCTATTGCGGCAGTTGGAGTTGCAGCAGGCAGACAGAGCAGCGATGATGGTCACCGTCTCGCCCCCAGGCTGCGGCGATGACGGTCGCCGTCTGCCTGCCACCGGAGTCCCTGTAGAGGTCATGGTCCACCTACCATGCCTACCATAACCATAACAGACACACGGTATGTCTGTGTGTAGATAGTATAGGATAGGTAGGTACAGTAGGTAGGCATCTAGGTGGGTATGTGTTTGTGTATATGTGCACTTGGGAGTAGCGCCGTGGAACCGCTCTTGTGTGCATCGTTTACCTAGCAGCCGCAGGCCAGGCAAGAGAAGAAGAAGAAGAAGGGAAAAAGGACCTTTTGCTGCCCCAGACATGAACAGCGTTACACTGCAAACCTGGCTGGTTCAGCCAGTCCTGCTCAGGCACTTGGCAGAGTCGGTCATGGTGCTCCATAAGACAACCCCACGGCGCTAGTGCAGCTTCATGTTCCCCTGTTGAATGGGAGGAGCCCTTGACTGCTGTCGCTTGGCTCAAGTGCCTACATAGTACATGGTAGCGGTAGTTGGGATGATCCTACTAAGCATGTAAAACTGTACATACATAGCACATATGGCTCCATCATGCTAAGAGTAGTACCGTCACCGACCTATGCCATGGTACGTGGGTGCTGCCCGCGCGGATACAGCGCAGGTACGCAGCATCCCGGACTGGCTCGCTCCTCTGCGCACAGTGACAGAGAAAAAGCAACGGGGCAAAGGGCGGGCACACTGCCATTTGCGCTCGAGTGCCCTCGTCGTCCCATATTACGCAGCGGCCGTCGCCAGCTCCCCAGGGTTTGCGTGCGTTGGATGGGGGGCGCTGGTGCATCGGTCGTCGTCGTTGGTTTTGGGTGTGGTTGCGACTAACGAGTCGGTCTAGGTGACATGTTGGTGGGTGGTTGAATGCAGGTGCCGTGCCAGGGATTAGTTGGCCACTGTCCCTTTCACCTCAACGCGGTTCATCGCCCGTCCCGCTCCCTACCCTTTTCCCTACCAAAGCCAACATCAGCAAGCACACTACCATAGCACTATAGCAACTATAGCACTATAGACTATCGACTTATCGACTATCGACTGTCGACTATCGACTATCGACTATCGACTACCGGACTACCGCCTACCGCCTACCGACCACCGACCACCAAACTATCGACTATCGACGGCGTGCATCATTCGATACACTTGACACTTTTTGCCTTTGCCTTTCGGCCAGCTCCAGCTCCAGCTCCAGCTCCAGCTCCAGCTCCTCGTCGCCCGCTAGTATTGCTTTTACAGTACCTACATATACATACTACATACACTGTACAGGAGCACCCGCGGATGCACACACCCCTCCCCCCTGTCCCCTCGTCTCGATCTGCATCTCTGCCCAAAAGAGCGCTGGAAGGGGGCCAGACATGACTTCCTGGGGCAACTATTCGGGTAAGTCTGGCGTCGATGGACGCCAAATTGGATTCCTCTCTGGCAGCTGAAAAGCCGATACTGCCCGGCAACAACTGCCTCGAATCAAGGCCTCTGTGCTAACACGAACGGCATGCTGCCGCCTGCAGATTATAGTGGCCCGTCCAAAACACCTGGCTCTGCCACCCACGTTCTTGATCCCCGTCTGAGTTTGCTTGCCGCGCTGATCCCAGGAATCTTCACCGCCAAGCACTGTCTGGACATTGGCTGCAATGCGGGCAGCGTATCTTGCCAACTTGGTGAGTGCCCTTGTGTGGGAGGGATACCCCTGCTCTGTCCCGCAACCGATTATTACTCTCGATGCGCAATATTGATAGATTCCCAGCATTCGATTTCGCTGCCACAGCCGTGACAGGAGTTGACATCGACCCCGAACTGGTCAAGCAAGCCGAAAAGCTGCTAGCTCTCCGTGCCTGTCGTGTTCGACCTCCCGCCCAACACGCAGGACGCGTGGTGGACTACTTTCCAATCTCGGCCGTGCTCACGTACGGCTACCGCATCGAGCCGCTGAGTGAGGCTTCACGCAAGGCAGCGCCGCCATCGACTATTGCAAACTGGCCTTGTGTGAATTTCCACTCGGCAGACTGGGTTACCTGCACTCGTCAAGAAGTAGCAGGCCCATTCGATGTCATTCTGGCTCTATCAGTCATCAAGTGGATCCATCTGGAACATCTCGACGGGGGTCTCGAGACCTTCTTTGCAAAGTGCTCCTCGTCGCTAAGAACTGGGGGACACTTTGTTGTCGAATTGCAGACGTGGGACTCGTACGAGAAGGCTGTTCGCCCAAACACGGCTCCGCATTTCAGCCAGCACATGGAAGCTCTGCATTACCGCCCAGAGACGTCATTTGACAAGCTCCTGGCCAACGTTGGACTGGACCTTTGTGCCACATCAGATGCACTACCGCGCCGGATCAACGTCTATCGCAAGAACTAGTCTTTAATACTCTGGCCATTTGGCCTGTGATACCCCTTGTCCCCTTGTCGTTCCTGCTACTTGGTTGCTCTTCACCACGTTCCTTCTGAGGCATGGCCGCCTTTATATATATATCCTTTGCCGACGGTTTTGCCACACGTGTACACACCATGTATTCTCAGCAAAGTGTCAGCACTAGAAACGCGCGGCGACAAGGGCGTGACACCAAATCATTGAGAACAATGGATGAGTGAATGAGAATGCCAGGTTCTTGGCTCACAGAGAGTCTTTATGATACAGTCCAACAAGTCACAATGGCTGCATCACTCTTGACAGGCCCAAGTGTTGTACTATGAGGCTGCGGCATTCTTCGGTGGACAAAGAAGCTTCGCTTACTAAATCCATCTCCAGAAGCCTCGGGATGAAAAGGATCTTGCCTTGGGAGCCATTCCAGGATTCTCTTGTGATCTTCCATTCGGCAACGTTGCCTCGACTGGCTTGACACCAACGGTGCATGGGCTTCGATCCCGGCTATCGATACTTCCATACTTGTTCGCCTATGCCCCTTTTCGCTGTGTTATTCTATTCAACCTGCAGGGCGAGCCGAAGGCCTCGCTGCCGTACGATCTTAATCTGGGAACTGCTAAACACGGCAGGGTGACTGAAAGGAAGTGTACCTCGAAACTCAGCTACGTACATGGTACTCCGAGTTGATCGCTGCAACTGGCATCAGTTCCTACTCACCCCCTGCTTTACGGGGTGGCCTGCTCTATTGGTTCAGAGCCGATCGTCGCTCCCATGACACCGTCTAGGATATCCTGGTATGCCGATCAGTCTCCTCACTGTTCCAGCAAACCGCAACCTAAAAAATCGTACGAGAAGCCAAGCATCCAATCAATGTCATGATTGATTCGTGACAACCGATATTTGTGCATACTTCTCAAACCATCTGCTATCGTATGCAAAGCGTACTGTTTGGTCACTCTGTCTAGCATGTGATCCTAGTAAACGCGGCCGTGGTAAACCACGTCTGACACAGTCGATACTCGACTATACTCTATTGCTGGTGCTAAACTTGTCATGAAGTGTGTAGATCAGTTGAAGAACAACGCCAGTCGGTTTGTAGTCAATGCTGCGATTGCAACCGGGAATATTAAGGTCGCTATTGTACGAACTATCTCTTCGCTGTGCTCACGACATGCCTGTACAGACTCGCATGGTGAAGTTCGTGAATCTGGCTCGCAATATAACCCACTCGGCAAATCGGGCAAGCCAACTGACTTTTCCATTCTGGCTCTTTCGGAAGGCCGGCTCAGCAACTAGGATCACGCTCTCGAAAATCCTTTACATGTAGGTATCTGTGTGATCGGCAGGATACACTAGTACTAGGTCTGATCGTCCATGCGATGCAATGAACTGATTATCCAATTTCCGATCATCTCCTGAATAGATGATACTTGTGGGGATACAAGACTCAATTACGACGTTTTGTATAGAAAACAAAGTATTAGACAGGCAAGCATGCTCCTTGGTCTCGGACGTGATTCCGCTCTTCCACACCTGGGGTTACAATGGGGCCCAATGCTGGTAACACGGCGGCGTGCACAGCAGCGTGAGCTGGCACTCTGAATGCCCACCGAGCATGCTCTCTACATGCGTGTCGTTGCGAGTGTTCAAGAGTCGTGAACAATGACATCCCGCGTTCAGGCCCGGGCACGTTGCGTAAGCACAGCTTCGAGCTGGTTTCAAAATTTTACCCGAAGATCCCATCTGAGTGCTGGATCTTGTACCCGAGATCAGGTCACCAGCAGATGGTGTCTGCAACCCCCGCTCGCAATCGCAAGGATCTGTATTACCAATAAAAGGCTCAACGCCTTCACTCAACCGCACATACATTTCGACATGGAGGCAGCAGCGTAATAGACCTCACACCAGTTGATCCATTGTACTGTGCTCCGCAACAAAGTTTGATGGCACGCTAATCAGCATGAAAAATCTTGGATCAGTAGGGAGTAACCATGATCGGCGAACTGCCTTTATCGGTCGCATGTGCAGAGTGGCACGACACCAGATATGGCCATCGGTCGACAATATACGGTACTTGTTTCCTCTCATGCACATGGTCGGATCATGCTGGGGCTCGTCAGATTCGTTGCCGTACGCTCTACTACGTTGTAAACTGTAGTCTGTTCTAGTTGGGACGCACGCCTGTGCTTCTACCGGTAGTGGATGCAAAATTGGACGACAGCAACTATCAAAACGCTCTCCGGCCTGCGCCCAGAGGGGGTTGCCGGATAGGTACACACAGCTGTGCTGCCACGTCTACAATGTTTACGCCATGATAGAACATGCCGTTGGGTTCCCCTCCCGCGAATCTATCATCAAGGTACAATTCATGCACAAGGCAGCGGATAGGTAGTTTACTTGAACCCAGAGGACGAACACAGCCACGAGATGCACACGGGTAGCTAGCCACAACAGTCAACCCAGCCCAATAGGTAGGCCATCTGCTAGACGATTGCCGCTCGCAATGTTTTTTCAAGCTACTTTCCAGCTACGCATCTTGCGCTTGACTCGGCATCCACCATATGCCTTGACTCCTCGCGTTGAAGAGGTTAGTGTCGACAGGCCAATGTCACCAAAACCTCCTAGTCCGCGCGAGGCAGAAGGAGTCACAGCAATAATAGGGGATGCAACGGTCAGCCACTACCGCGAAATGGCACGTTGTTGCCATTGTGGCATGGCCGTTGTCCAGGCGAGAGACCTGCAGTTGTGCGCAAGGTCTCGATTACGTAGGCAGTATACCTCCAATGAAGGCTACATACTGCTACCGTTCATGCATCAAGGCGTGCCTCCTGGGGATGCACGACATTGTGCGACGATTGACCAACACATCACACTGCCAGCGGACACTATTTTCTGATGCACAGCATCGACATCCTTGCCACCAAGACTGCACTCTTCCTGAAACAAAGTTTGTCTCCTTGAGATTGCGAAGCCCGTCAGAAGGATGCGCAAAAGCTGGCCTAGAAGGGGAGACAAACAGCATCGATCCTATCTAGATACCTACCAGCCTGGGGGCGGTGACGTGCGGGACGGGACGGACACCAGGCCAGGTCTCTAGTGACTTTTCTGCCACCTCCACTACTTTTGCTACGGTAGGGGCGCGCGTGTCAGGGCATCGTCACCTTCGACCAATGTACTATACCTCTGTCAATGTTGGAATTCCCCCTAGAGACCGCCACCCACGCCAGGGATACTTGGCCGCGTTCCGCAATGATGCCAGCGGGCCCATGGCTGTTAGGTCGCCGTTTGCTGGCTGCTTGCGGTGGCGAGTATGTATGTTCAGCTGGACGAGCGCACCAGTCGCAATATGCGGAGAGCTAGCACGGCGACGCCTTTGTCAGGCCCCAGAAACTATTTATGCCGCTCAGATGGGCAAACGCTTCCAAACTCATCCATCGTGTCCCCTCCGGCTCCCGGTCGTCCATTCTTCCTCGTTCTTCTTCGTCGTTTCAGTGAGCTACAGCGAACGGGGTCATCGTCCTTGACCTTGAGCCGGGTAAGTCACTCCGATTCACCTCGACTTCATGTGCGCAATGCTCGTAAGCAGCATAACCGCCCAGAGACATGGACTGGATGCATTGTCCATTCGTCGCATTGATTTCGAACATGATATTGAGGCGCGGAAACGTGACATGCTCCGGCGCCATAAGCGCACTCGAGGGTATCTGGCAGGATGCTGATGATCAGACAGGCCCAGAGTCCCGCGCGCTTCACGATCCTTTCTGCAGATCTGGGTGTAGTGGTAATTTGGGGCGTCAGCTTTGCTTACACTGGAGATCCTGGTCCCATCTCAAAGCGAATGGCCTTCCCATCCGGGTCACACAACTCAACAGGCTAGTCGACGAGACCCTACATATTTCGGCAGCTTTGCGCGGGGGTGCTTTGCCGGAGCCACGGGATTTTGACCCTACTGTCCCTATATACGTGATCGATCACGAAGCTTGCAGAGAATCGGTCCAGCAGCGCTCTCTCCTGAACATCGTCCCACAAGCGCAACACGCGAGACCATCATGCCGCCTACGAGCTCGTCGTTTACGCCGCTGAACATTACAAACGATGTCGTTCCCGAATGGATGGGATCCTTCACCCTTGCTGCACCCCCAAATACCGATCTTTGGAGGAAGCCGCCATCAAGAGACACGTCGACGGCGCCCATACTCTACACCGCGTTACGCAACCCCTTTGTAGCCGCCGAAGTCACAGTCTCGGCGGATTGGGAACTGGAATGGGACCAGGGAGGGCTGGTGATATTCGCGGGCGCACCGCCCGGGCAGATACCAGTCGTGTCACCAGAGCCTCGTCGTGTCATAGACCTCGCGTTAGAGGATGAAGCATTACCATCGCCATCGCAAGCTCTGGATATCAATGGCTTCAACGCCACACGAGCACAGGACTCCCATCTGGACCCTCCAAGAGAGCGTAGCCCTCCGCCCCCTTACGTGCCACCCGCCCCAGCGTCAAAGTGGGTCAAGGTCGGCTTGGAATTTTGCAATAATGCCTGCCACGCGACATCAGTAGTCGCAAACTGTGAGGGTGCAGATTGGTCTCTGTCTGCGCTGCCACCGCACCATGCGCGCCGTCTCGACCTACGCGTCAAGATTGAACGCATCGGCTATGCACTGTGGGTTTGGTATGAGGATGAAATGATGGGCTGGAAGAAGCTACGGGAAGTCACTTGGTTCTTCTGGGGTGTCGAGGACAAGGCCGTTCGTGTTGGAGTGTATGCAAGTCGGCCCGCCAACTTTGGCATGAGCATGTTTGAGCGAAGAAACGGCAGTGGTCAAAACAGCGGAGCAAGGAACCTCTGCGTAGACTTTGAGGGCTTGGAAATTGGCTGACGGTTCGCGCAGCCAATCATCCATGAACCATACTTTTTGGTTTTTGTTGCATTCGCGAGTGGTTCGTGGCCACAGGATGATACCAGGCGGCGTCGAGAGTATTTCTTTGCAACTGGTGGGGAGTGCCATGCCACTCATGTTCCATGTCCATCTTCTCCTGCTTGACTTCTTCGTACATATTCCCTCATCTCTATCGTCTATCCTAATACCTTTTTTTGGGGGGGGGGGGGGGGCGGGGTACTGACAGCCCATGGGTGCATTACTCGCATGCTTATTCCTCCCATATTTCTTCAACCTTTGTCCACTCACTGCCTCTTTTCCCAGAGCACAATACTTGTCCTTGCACTGTTGGAGATTCTTGCATTCGGGTTTCTCTATTCTCCGTGCTTGCTCGTGGCCCAGAGGACTGACGACGAGAAGCGTTGCACGTTGACTTCAACTCACGTGCCATATTCCCCTTGGATAGCTATCAGTCAGAATATATTTGGTAGCGCGCACGCCCTTGATCCCATCCCGTAATTCATCACACGCTGATTCATTCTTGCTGGCGGGAGCGTAAGCCGGATGCTCTTTCCGTGTCGGCCTGACAAACGTGCATGGGGCGTAAGTGAAGCGGGAGTGGACGAGCCTCCCCCCAGACAACCAAAAGTTTCCCTCTTCACGAGCTCATTGCCAAGTAGGAGTGTGGATACGCGAAGTTTGAATGGCTCGCATGGGGAGTTGCCAACGTTGGCTTCACACGCACGAGAGGCGCAAACGCGTCGAATGGCCTGTCTGCATGATGTCGCCAACTGCGCAACTCTGCCCCTTTTCCCTGAGGGCGCATTGCCAATCCGTTGCATGTGCACTGGAGGACATTGGCACCAGGCTTCGACTGTATACAATTGCGGCTAGGAAAGGTAGATGCGATTCTGACGATGACGGGTGAGTTTTCATCGTCATCATCATCATCATCCGGTAATACAGCAAGAGTAGAGGGGGGACCGGCAAAAGAGTGGGATAACTTGTGGAGTGAGCTTCCAAGATTGCGGTCAAGACGGATGAGTAGTTACTTGGGCTGGGATCGCGTGGGAGGCAGACTACATATCGTAGAGGCTCAGAGGTCGCTTGCAGGTGATGAATATTTCTTCTCATCGTCCTGACTAGTCAGTTGAGTACTGTTGGCTACTGAATCTCTTGATTACATTATTTTACTATTTGTCTCCCATAATGGAGGCCTGAGGGCTATACTGTGCTCTCTTCTAGCCTTTGCTCTTTCGTCATTTACGCTCTCAAAAACGCCGATGTCTGTTCCTATAAATCCCAGCGCCGAAAGCGCGCTACCCGTTTTTCCAACATGCAATATGTACACCGCTCACCCTCTCCCGTTGCTCTTCTCTCGTGGCCAGCAGAGGCAACTTGTCAAACTACCGCCTAACCTCCCAAACCAAATACGGCCCTATGACCCTCGCCGCAGTATAAATCACCATGACACTCTCCACCAACAGCACATATGGCGCCTTCCACACCGCAACGTCCTGCAGTCGACACCAAATAGCATAAAAGGCGACGCTGAAGAAGTGATAGACGAGCATCCATGGATTCGTAATGAGCCCGCTCAGCATACCACACGGCTCACTGATGCAAGCACCGCCAAGCTGGAAGTAGCGGAAACAGCCGACTTTGAGCATGGAAAGGTATTCATTATTGGCAGCGAATAGCGAGTACAGGGCCATGGCTAGAATGTTGATGACTGACGAGCCATTCTTGCGCTGCCAGTGGAAGGTACTGATTGCGCCGAGGACGGCAGAGGTGTCTTCGAGCGAGGAAACGTTTTCGGGGGCAAGGAGAGTCGACAGCGTCACCACATCGTTGAAGGCTACCGTCATTCCGCCGCCGGTGAGGGGGTGACGCATGTTCATGGCATCGCCTAGCATGATCAAGCCGGCTTGCTTTTGGGTGGCGGGTGGGAGGAACGAGTTTGGCATGGAGCGTAGTTTTCCGGCTTCAACGGCGCGACGGAAAGCGGGTTGGGTACAGGGTGGGAGGTTTGGCAAGGCGACGTTGAGCATGTGATTCTTCACACCACCCGCTTTTATGCTGGCGCTAGGGAGACCTTCGGGGATGTCGACGAGGATTCGGGTTTCGTGGGTGCCGATCTGGTAGATGAGGATGGGAGGCGCGTCGGTGAGGATGACATGGCCGTGGTTGGGACGGGGAAGGTCGGCATCGATCATTTCGAGCCCCCAGAATTTGGAGCGAACCTGGGGCTGATGGGGGAGATATTGTTTCCGAAATTTGGATGCGTAGCCGTCAGCGACGAGGGTGAGGGCGCCAAAGTAGTAATCCAGTTTGCCGTCTGTCTGGCATCGGACACCGACGACCTGGCCCGAGTGATCGGATGTGACGGTGTCGATGACGGTGGTTTCGACGACGGTGACATTGGGCGTGGCGGCGGCCTTGGCGCGCAGTTTGGAGATGAAGCGACCGTGATGGAAGGAGCGACCCTCTGGGCGTTTCGAGGACGCCGAGGAGACGAGGTTGTCGGGGTAAGGAATGTGAACGGGTTCATTGTAGTATGAGACTTGGTAGCCGTAACATGGAATGGCGTCAATGTCTTCGAGACAGTCTAAGGGGGGGGGGGGAAGTCCATGTTAGTATCAAAGCTATAGATATAGATATAGATATGTGTGTCTGCATGGCATCAACGTACCCCTCATCCCCAGCTTCTCCAGCGCAGCCACACCGCCCGGCTGCAGAAGCTCGCCCACAATGCGGTCCGGCTCTTTCAGGCTCTTCTCCAGCAAGAGGACGCTCCTGCCCTGGTTGCCAAAGGCGACGGCAGCCGCGCAGCCGACGATACCGGCGCCTACAATGACCATGTCGGCCTCGTGATGCTCTCGCCGCCTCTGCTCGCCATAGTCGCTTGTCACTGTTGGTTCGGGTGTGGGTGCGGGCGGGGTGGAGACGCCCCTTGCGCGCAGTTGGGAGGAAGGCGAGGAGGCATGGACACCAGGCGGCAGCTCGGTAATTTTGGACCCAGAGAACATGGTAAGCATGGTGACGATGGGCGTGGAGAATCGAGTCGCAAGACCTCCGAGGTTTCTATTGTAGTGGTGGTGGTGGTGGTGGTGTCGTCACCCAAAGGTACAGTACGTTAAGCCCAGTCTTTTTCACACTGCGCCGATCCGAAAAATAAGCAGAGATGGTTCGGGCAGATTCAATCGGGAGAAGGGGCGATGGAGACGGCAGGAATGGTGGGGAAAGGGAGCGAAAGGGATTAGCGCAGGTGTGATTCACGCTTCTTGTGTAGATTGCAGTGCGTGCTGCAATGCTCGAGAGGATGAGAGAGAGAGAGAGAGGAGAGGAAGGACTGGGGCTGGGGGTGAACTGCAAGTGAGGAGTGAGGAGTGGTGAGTGGCGGATTGGCAATGGTTAAGCAGAGGTGCAAACCTTGAAAGGGTGCTCGAGTGGCTGGGGCGGTGAGGCTGAACGGGGGGGCGATTGGCAAGCTTCTTGCCAAGGGGCCTCCACTCAGGCTAGGGTGGCGTGAAGGTCGCTTCATCCATCACCCGCACCGTAGAGTCCATGCTGTCTTACCCTCCCCAACTTTCACGTGCACCGACGAGGGCGAGGGCGAGGCTCATCGCATCGAACCATGATGGTCTGCTGTTGTCGACACTGATTGATTTCTTCTTTCCTTGTTGTTGTCATTACATGTTACCCCAAGACGGCAAACATGAATCATGGGGACTAGAGTACATGGCCAGAATCCTGTCTGCATTTCTCATTCATCCATGTGCTACTGTATGTACGCACTCTACGATTATGCAAACCAGAAAGTAATCATGGGGGACTCGAATGGTAGAGTAGGTCGTAAGAGCCCGGCTCCCACCTAGGTACCCAACTCCATTTGGGCGGCCGGTATCGTTGTGCAATGCCCGCCCAAAGAAGAAGAAGAAAAATAACAAAAAGTTCAATTTACAAAAAAAAAAAAAAAAAAGACGTCCAATAGGCAACCCAAGAAAAGAATCATGATTTCCACCGACGACGTAAAAAAGGGAGAGGGGCTAGAATGCGGCGCCAGGCTGGTGGTGGACCACGGTGGCCTGGGGAAAAGAGCGCCCGATTTGCGAGTTGCGGTCATAGTAGGCTTCGTAAAACTCACTGAGCCGCGCATCCTTGGCTGACGACAGTCTGCCGGCCAGAGGGAGAGGCAGGAGCGAGGGAGCACGAGTGAAGGTTGCTCCTTCTTCTTCTTCTCCTTCTTCTTCTTCCCCTCCTTTTCCTCCTTCTTCCTTCTTGCCCATCGACACTATGCCCGATTGGTGCCTAGAGCCAGAGTCAGCGCCACAGCCAAAGCTGCACCCAGCCTGTTCCTCTGGTTGTTGATGTCTCTGATAGGCTTGGTAGGCTTGGAAAATGCCCAATCGCTGCTGCTGCTGCTGCTGCTGTTGTCCGTGGCTACTGTACAGGCTGCTCGCATCGCTGCCGTCTCGCCCGTGGCTTCGTGTGCTCGGTGCGCTTGCGTGTGCATGTGCATGTGCATGTGCAGTTGGTGGTCGTGCGTCGTCCGCTTGCCCTGGTTTCAAGAGACGAACCGAGCAGGAGGCTAGCGCAGTTTCATCCGCTTTAGCCACTGTCAGGCCGGCTTTCTTTCATAAACATAGTATTGATATCGGCTAAAAGTACAGCAAGCAAACCACGAGCCAAAGGAGAAGAAAACCCCCCTCAACCCCGCATCCGGCTGAGAGGCTGAGAGAGCGAGAGTGAGAGTGAGAGAGAGAAAGAGAGAAAACTACCCACTCGGTTGGTAAACCCGCACCTGCGGATTGGCCGACTCGGGCGATGGAGACCGCGACTCTTTTCGCCACGCTGCTCCGGGTATCGTGGGCAGTCGACCAGTAGGTGGTTTGCCCGACGAGGATGGAGTAGGCAAGGGTCCAGCCGAATAGTCAGATGAGGTGGTCTGCGACCGGCCTTGGGCCTCGTCTCCAGTCGCGTACGCTGCTCGAAGGGGATCAGGCATGGGAATCCTAGGAGCCGGTGCATAGTGTTGCGCGTGCCCATCTCCTGTAGGGGACAGAGAGCGTGGCGACGTGAAACCATCACTTTCGCTGTCGGAACCACCAAACGTAGGAGACTGCCCACCGCCAAACGCATGCTGGGGAGCATGGCTGGAGGGAGAGGGAGGAACCTGAAGGGACATATCCACTGCGCCGTGGTGTCGTCGTCCGTTGAGCTCGGCGTCCGAGGGCAGCAGCTTGCTGCCCGGCGAAGAGGCTCTGTGCTGCGGGTTGGCATCGGGAGCGCCGAGGTGTAGGCTAAGAACGCTACTGTTGTTGTTGTTCATTTGCCCTTTCATCAGTGGCGAGCTGACGTTTCCCCCGACCAGAGTGCTAGTGCTCATGCTCGGGTGCTGGATGCTCATGACCGATCCGGCTCTGGACGTCGGCCGTGACTGGGCTACACCAGCATAGAATCCGGCTTCAATGGCCCGGATACCGAACAAATCTCCCTCATCCTTTTCGCGTTGATTGAGCTCGACCGTGTCTTCCTTGGGTCCAGCCTCCAGCTCTGCTGCCCTGGCCTTCTTTAACCTTTGTTTTTGGTGCACGAGTTAGTCTGAGGCGCTTGGCATGCTACTTTCCATGGACGACCTACTTGTTGCGATCGAAGAGTACCTTGATGAAACCAGCTGCCATGACCAAAACGAGCAAGCCCACAAAGACGACACTGAGACGGTCAGTTTACGAGTCTTCCTGGTGACTACTGTCTGGCAGTTCTTACACATATTTGTAAGCCAGATCCAAGTTACCAAACCAGTTTTCTGCACCCATGATGGCGATAAGAGGGTCGGGACCAAGTCGACCCAGTTCCAACGTTTCAATCAAGGTACGAGCGCGAAAGAGGGGGGAACCAAATAGCTTCGGCGCCACAAAACTTTCAAAACTTCCGGTGCTTTGGGTCAAGTGGAACGGTTGATTGGGAATAAACGGTTCGATTTCGTTTCTTTCTCTCGGACAAGTCCAAGCCAGGTATCGGTGTAGAATCGTCAGATGGCACGTAGATGGTGGGATGGTGGTGGGATGGTTTGTGCGAAACGAGAGGACGTGTGAGCGAGACACACTTGAATGAAGGAATGAAGGACTAGAAGGAGTGAATGGCAGGAAGGGTGGCCAGGAGGAGGAGGAAACCAGGTCGGGAGGAAGAACGAAAGGAAGCCAAAAAGAGCGAGCGAGGGGACAAGGAGAGGAGTTGGATAGAAGAGGCTTGCAGCAAGAGTAGCAGCAACAGCCGCAAGCGCGCTCCTCTGTCTCGTTCCGTGTCGGGCTATGGGACTGGTGTCGGCAAGCAGGCTCGAAAACCTAAAAGCGGGACCCAGGTGACGGCGTGGATGCCCATGGCCCCCCATGGCCCCGTCGATATAGCGAGCTTTGCACCAATCATGGCCCCAGTGGGCGCAGGCCTAGGACAGGATAGAAGCTGAAAAAGGAAGATGTCCTCTGGTGGCGCTACCCCTTTCAGCCAGGCTCCTCGTTGGTTGGGGTCCCATCCGGCATGGTTCTTGTGAGTATATAGGGTATGTGTAGTATTGTATTGTATAGTAAGGAACCAGTACAGACAAGTGCACACCTAGAGTACCGTACCCATGCGAGCCCTGTTGGCCCCTCGTACTAGCCCGAAGCCAGAGTGTTCTGCTGCCAACGGTCGGTGTTCTCGGTGCAGGTGCAGGGCTTGGGCAAATGTTTCGGGTGAGGTGTGGTCGTCGCATAGATGTGGTCTTCTATCGACTGGGCGGCACCATTCCACTGCCTATTTCGCCGACGGGTTCGGGAACGTTGGCTCCACGGCTCACAGTCAGCACTCTATTGTGCAGAAGCAACAGCGACGGCGCTCGTGTCAGCACTCTGTTGTGGAAAGAGAAAAGCGGCGGGCTCGTGTCAGCACTCTGTTGTGGAAAGAGAAAAGCGGCGGGCTCGTGTCAGCACTCTGTTGTGGAAAGAGAAAAGCGGCGGGCTCGTGTCAGCACTCTGTTGTGGAAAGAGAAAAGCGGCGGGCTCGTGTCAGCACGGCTGTCTGCCAAGTGCTTACTGGGTACCTACCTAGACTCCCTCCCTCCCTCCCTACCTACCTACCTACCTACCACAGCTACGTACTATGTAGGTACTCTACAGTGTGTATTGTACCTACGCTTGTGAGCAAGACCCTGCGCCAACAGTGGACGGGTGATCTGCCGCATACCTACAACAGGCACACATGTACGGTACTGTGTGTAGATGCCATGGTAGTTTGTCGCTATCTGTTTGTACAAATTACCCTGTCCCCTATTCCCGTACTACAGCCATGTAGACAACGCAATGGCCCAATACCAGCTACTGCCTCCACTTCTACAGAATACGAGGGAGCGCCGTGGGAACAGCCAGACGAGCCCATGCGGCCGTGCGGCCATGCGACCATGCATGCGGTGGCTGAGGTTTCTAGGGCCTGCACGTGACAAGCACATGATTCGCTACTAGCAGCAGCCCGTGCGCCCGTGCCGCCCACACCCACACCCACTCCCACTCCCACTCCCACACCCACTCCCACACCCACACCCACTCCCACACGCCCCCTCATTACATGGTGACAGATATAGGTAGGTAGCTACATATAGTACCCCATCCTATCATCCACAGTACCGAGCAGACAGTTGTCCAATGTCACCCCTGGACCAAAGGCGGGAGAGAGTTGGCGCATCGCAGCAAGAAGGAGGAGAGGAGAACACGAGGAAAAGACAACAAAGGCGTCACGTCCAAAACAGCCAGCAGGATCCGACAATGGGCCCCACCCTGCCTGCATCCACATCCCCATCCATCCATCCATCGTCCACTCCAGGGCTTCCCACTCGACCTCGTCATGGATGCCTCCTTGGCAGGGGCAATGGCCACCCGACCAGCCGCCCAGCCGCCCAGCCCCCCAAATCCCAACCAGGTCTGGCCAACGTTCCAGCACGCTGGCGACACGAACAAGGAATCAGGCCCTTGTAACATGCTTTAGGGTAGGTACTTACTCTACTACTGTTGCCATAATGCCATGATAGGGACCTCATCGAGTGCATGCGAGAAAAACAGTTGCCGACCTCGGTCCGCCCGTTTTCCCATGCGATGATCCAGAAGACCGTTTTACTGTACCTTGCTCTGCACGGTTGTACGCCATGTACCTACACTGTACACGGTCTGTTTTATCGTGAATCTGATCTTCTCCGAGTCGGCTGGTATAGGTACATGTACATACTACAAGTGTCTGTCACACCACAATGGGAGAACAGGCTGACATGCGCCAAATCGAAAATTGCCACTTCCTTCTCTGCTTCTGACTCTGCGCTCTGCACTCTGACTCTGCACTCTGACTCTGGCTCTGGCTCTGACTCTGACTCTGACTCTGATTCTGATTCTCACCCTGGCTCTGACTCTCGACTAGTCATCCGCGGAGCCTATATGGCGTAGTATGTACTCTAACCTGCCTGCCCTGCTGTCCCATGTACAAGTACAGTCACTATCTATATGACATTGTAAACCGTCATGCGCTGCAACGCGAAGAGTCGTATTCGTAATTCAACCTCTTTGCTTGGCATAGGTAGGGGGAAGAGGGAAGGGGGGCCGTGGGGATGGCCCAACATTGAAAGTTCAAGCCTAATATAGGTAGATACTTGTACCTGTCATGCACACACATGCCCACTTCTAAACCCTTTGTCCTGTTTTGTTTATCTGTTCCTCCAGCCTTTTTGCCGTTGGAAATCACGACACTCAGAGTCACAAGAGTGCTAAACAAAGGGGGGCCAATAGAAAGCAAGCCTTCTATCCATTCCAGCATGGCCTCCTGTACTCATTTCTGAGCGCAATGCGGCTCCCATCGCTCCATTGCCCCAAACCAGAGGCTTGCAGGCGTCCATCTGCAGTCACGAATACGGTACGGTATGCCCGCGCGACCCGCCGTTGTATGTCTCACATATCACCTCCAGTGACGCCCCACTCATCAACTCACTTTTCCAGAAAAAAAAACCCCCCCCAATAATAATAATAATCATCCCCATCCAAGGTACAAGCCGTCGCGGATTGACATGGTCATGATGCGCTGTCGGGTAGTCGCCGTAGAATGTTTGTCGGTGATGTTGCAGGTCCAGTGCAGGGCTCTTGGCAAAGAGTCGCGATGCTTCGCCTGAACAGCTTACAGTACCTACCTACCCTACCTACCTGCCTACCTACTAGTACCTGTACCTTCCTCGCCCCTCCAACTCGCACCCAAAAAAAAATTGAAACAATCAAACAGCACCACCTTACTGTCCACGCTTGACTGCGCACACCATGGTATCCTCAGGTCGCGTCTCCGATCAGCTGCCTCAAATCATCAACACAGAGCCTCTGGCAAGCTTGCTCTTCGCCTCGAGCCTGGCATCCTATTGACGTCGGTAGGACAACAAGGACGCCAAATGGGCTACATTCGTCAAGTAGGTCACCATCTTGGCCCTTCCCACAGTCTGGTCATCCTCTTGAATAGCACAATCCTGACCACCCCGTAGAACAACCTACTCGGATCCCCAAGGAGTTGAACGCACGTGGGAGCATGGTGAACGCCTCACTCGCCCAAAAGGTTGCGACATTGATGGCGTTGGGGTCGTCGCCATACTGCAAGACCCCTCAAGGCCAGAGGAAGAACCCCGCATCGTGCTGCAGAAGCAATGGCGTCCACCTGTAAACGCGACCGTCATAGAGGTACCTGCTGGTCTCATGGACCCTGGTGAGACACCAGAGGTATGTGCCCTGCGTGAACTGAAAGAGGAGACTGGCTATGTCGGCGAGGTCGTGTCCGATCGTACGTTTCAGGCCACTCCAATCATGTTCAATGGTGAGTGAGTGATTTGGAGAGGTAGACTTGGAGTCGCCCATGCAACGTGCTGACATGGTTCAGATCCCGGCTTCTGCAATACCAACTTGCGGATGATACATGTGACCGTCGATCTCTCTCGACCTGAAAACCAGAACCCCCAACCTGAGCTCGAGGAGAACGAGTTCATCGAGACCTTTTCAGTCCCCCTCAAGAGCTTATGGGACGAATGCATCAAGCTCGAGCAACAGGGTTATGCTATTGATGCAAGAGTGGGCACCTTTGCTGAAGGCATAGAGTTTGCCAAACGCTGGAAGCTCTTCTAAAGTCTCCGACGGTGGTTAGCTACACTTTACTCTGCCTTCTGTCACTGATTGTAGCGAGCAGCCATGCCATTACACACACACGCACGCAAAGCGCTCTCAACAGTTTCCATATCCTTGAGCATTGCACAAACTTCCAATATCACACTTCTAGCCGTCCACTGAAAGCCTCAATGCCATGTCGTCGCCCTTGCGGCTGGATTCCCGTTCAACCGCACTGCCCAACTGTTTCACGTTCTTGCATGGCGTGAGCTTCGCTCTACTCTGTAGTACACTACCCCGCGAATTGTGATACGCGACTGACTGCATAGACGCTGTCCAGGCTCACGTATAGGGCCGAAACTATTCCATTCAACACGAAGCCCCCCATGGACATGTCATCTCACCTCACACCTTTCCATAACATTGTGCGCCTTCTGACAACAAATATTACGAAACCGGAGACAAGATCAAGTCAACAAAATGGCGTTCCACTGAATTCCTGATAGCGTACACTATGCCTCGATGGCCATCCAATGACCCGACTCAGCCCCACAAGGCCGGATGAGCTATAACATCGCGTAATATACCCGCACCCATAGGTAGAGTACCTACAACCTGCGATGGCACGACCGACCACTCACTGTCTCGGAACAGTCGGCCGTTCTCACCTGTAACAACTTCGGATCACTTCCCCGTCAAACAATCGTGTGGCGCAAGCCATTCACAGCGGGATCTTTCATACCACGACTGCATTTCCCGACTTTGTATGATCCCTCGCTAGAGCTAGTCCGTCCCGTCTTGCTCAAGTAGGTACATACTATCATGCTTCGACTTTACATATCCATGGGCGCTGGCGTCGGTTAATTGCTCGTCGTCCTTCACCTACTCCATTTCACCTGTGTTACACGTAAACCTCTTCGTCCCCATAATCATTGCTAGTATGGTCAAGAAGATTGCGAGCCGCGATGCCTGCGTAGGTGTGGCTGTAGCCCTCACGGCATTTTCGGGTCAGTGAGATCGCGTTTGTGCGAGCGGTTGAGGCTGATGTGTCTTTAGCTGTCGTCGTCATCTTGCGCATGTATACAAGGGCTTTCATCGTGCGGAATATTGGGCGAGATGACTACACCATGTTGGGCGCTTTGGTATGCGATACATTCATTGCTCGATGACTTGCGCTTACCAAAGTAGATAGTTGTCATGGGATACCTGGCTGCTATCTTTGTCATTCGAGTTAACGGAATGGGATTTAGTGGACACGTCTTGACGCCCGAGCAAATGGTCAATCAACTCCAGACGACAGTAGCCATTGAGATCATGTATTATTTTGCCATCAACGCGATCAAGGTGTCCATACTATTGTTCTATCTTCGTATAGGTAAGATCAAGTGCCCATCGACAATTCAAGTCTGAAGCTAAACGTCATCCTAGCTGCGGCTAAAAGATTTGAGCTTTCATGCAAAGCCACCCTGTATTTCCTGATTGTGTTTTGTGTAGTCTGTATCGTTTGCTGTCTGGTACAATGCATTCCACTGCACAAAATGTGGGACTTCACGGGAATGGTTCAAGGCCGCTGCATCAACACTACAGCGCTGTTCTACAGTAAGCACACAGCGTGGTCAACAGAAAAAGGCACTGATTCGAAATAGCAACGAGCGCAGTCAACATCCTCGTCGATATATGGATCCTTGTCCTTCCGATCAAAACCTTGCTCAAGGTTCAACGGCCAACTCGCGAGAAATTTGCCTTGGTCGCAATCTTCAGCCTGGGAGTGATCAGCTGCATCGCGTCCATTGTACGACTACATTCCATTCGTATCTTCACAGAATCCCGGGACCCCTTCTTGGACAGCGTTCCCGTCAATCTCTGGAGCATGGTCGAACTCAATACCGGCATCTTATGCGCATCGATACCTTCTCTCAAGGCCCTCTTCTCCAGAGGACAAAGAGAACGCACCCAGAACGGCACATATCATTTCCACAGTCGTGGCTTCAGCGGCGTCCAACCAAACAGTAAACGCAGTGAGCGCATGTCTCCGAAAGCGGCTGGTGAATCCGAGCTCGAGACTTATAGTCTCAAAGATGTTGAGAGAGGCGAGCGACCTGACTCGCAGCGCAGAGAACGGCATGGTGGGGCGTGGCTTGTATCGGCACATGACTCGGAGGTTGACCAAACTGTTGTCCAACTGGATCCTAGAGTCTGATGGTCTATCGATTCATTCACTCCGCGCTTCGCTTATCAAAGCGCGCCATGCCTAACTACTAGGTAGCAAGTTGAATCTCATTCTCACTGTTTGGTCTTCGAGACTCCACCTTGTCACTAGCCGTTTAGGCGTGCAACGCACCCTAATGAGCCTTGAGTTAGCGAAGGCGCGGCCACGAGGCTCCGGTCAACACGTCGACTGCGTACAAAGTGTGGCAATTGCAACAGCACATGCTGTACTGGTGACCTTTGAAACATTAGTATGAACAGGACAGGGCATAGGGCTGTGTCACTCTTTTTGAGAGGCACATGTGTAAGCCATGCTGCATGAGGGAACGTCCCTGCAAGGATCATGTCAACTTCGGTTCCGTGCGGCCGGGTGCCTGACCATCTCGCCTTTTCTGGTCGAACCCCTGATCCTCGCCAAGATCCATGGAACCATTCCTGGGAATGTTTGTTTGCCCCACACACATTGCAAGGCAAGTGTCTGAGACATGTCAGTCCGTGTCAGACTAACATACTAAATAAGTACACACATAGTTTTCTACTTAGGGTTGTATCCCTTTCGCACAGACCTCATACACTGCCATTCAGCACCCACAATTAAAATGAGATTACGCTTGGTAGTATCTCAACTCTATATGTGCCTATACCTCCAGCACTCCCATCCAAGCAATGAAGAAAAGCATCCATTGTACAGATCACCAAAGGAACACAGATGAGTCTCACATCAGCTGCGCTTCTGCTTGTAGGATCCTGGCATTGTCTTTCGAGAACAATGAATTGATACCGAGGCCGTAGCGCCTGAAGATCCAAATCCGGATGTATAGCATCGTCTTTGCTGTTCAAATATTCCTTCTCGACATTCTATCAGGAGCCAAACTGCTATAGAGTTCGTAAGTCCTGGCGATTGAGCATACTGAGCACAAGCGAAGTCTGGACAGATGGATACCGTACGGATTTCCCATCCCCTTTAGTGGAAAGTAAAACACGATCATGAGATAAGCCACCAAATCCGGTTGGTCAATTGAACAAAGACTGGTGACGAATTTACTAACAAAGCAACGATGTTATGTCAGTATGGGTTTCCCTCCGTGTTCAACAAAGTTCAATTTCATCGTTCAATTCTTTGCAGATAACATCTAGTGCCCCCCGAACCGACGCACGCCCACTGCGCAAAACGATGGCATCCCGAGACGTAGGCATTAAGATTGATTTTGCCCCAGGCTGGGTAATCGAGGCCAGGAATACTATTTACGGCTTACGTCAACCAAGCGAATATCATTTTCTCCTGTCCTTGCAACCTGCCGAGAGGAACGATTTCAAGCTGTTCGCCACTGGGTGGAAGCTGCAGGCCCATAACGAAAAACGTCGTAAGGAGTATAGTATACCATATCCTCCATATAGAATCTGATGCCTGTATAGCCATTCCCGAACCAGATGAGGTCATTGAAGCCTGGTGTACCCATGACGCCTTCGACCGGGAGAAATGGCTCCTCTTGGCCGAGCAACAGCCTGACTTGAGACTCATCCCTTGGAATTTTCATCTGCAGCGTGGTGTATTGTCGATGTTTCAAAGAACTCTGAGTCATAGACAAAAGCTGCGATTTGCACTGTTCGCCACTGGCGTCAAGGTGGCCAGCATGGAGCCGGTTACAGGTATGGGTGTTTCCACACGCATAGCTGGTCGATGTAGACTGAAAATCTGGTCCAGAGGAGCAATTCCAGGCCATTATCGATGCTTGGCGTGCTTGGCCATCAGAATATCAAGCTCGAATGATTGGCCTTGGAACGAGGCTGATGGAAATTTACCACCAGCGACCTCATCCTCGTAGGCCTATTTTCCAAGATCACTTGTATACCCATGGATCTGCCCGAGGGCCAACAATTAACGATATAAGCGAGGTGAATGACAACAACGAACGCTTTGAGGAAGGGGAACGGTGGGTGTTTGAGAAGACGATCTATCAAAACCCGCATCGCCCTGTTCCGGGTGGGCACTCTCAGCGAATCGTACATGTATTCGCAAGGGTGTCAACAGCCGGTGCTATCCTTGAGGTATCCTTTACCACGTTCCTACCGTTATACTGTGATTGATGGGCAACAGCGCCGAATTGTGAAGATATTGGGTGGCGCGGATATGGCCCAAATCAACCGAGATATCGATGAAGAGTACCGACATCATGCACGCCTGACGAACAGAGGATGTGCAAACATTTTGGATCTCCATGGCTACTCGTATCGCAGCCGACCTATCCCGCCACAACTAGGTTATTTGTATATGGAATATGTAAGTCAACCCTTGTCATGAAGGCAATATAGAAGACTAAAGCGGTACAGGCACCTTATGGCGACCTCAGCGATCTTCTTAAAGCACTAAATGGCTATGATGAGTAAGTCAGAACAAGCTGTCGCGGGCTTCGACTCACCCATGTAGCACCGCACAACTCCCCGAGCCATTTCTATGGCTTGTATTTCGTGGACTTGCCGAGGCCCTCCTACTCATGCAGACCGGGCGAACAATACTCCCGACACAACCCTCTCGTCCGATCAACCCAATTTTGCCGCTAGAAGGCTGGAATCCAATCGTGAACCCAGACATCAAGCCGAGGAACGTCGTCCTGGGCAAGCCACGTCCTGATTATTACCCGGGATATAAGTGCGCGAAAATGATAGATTTCGGGATATGCTGGGACGATGAAAGGTCCAGTTTATCGGGGAACAAACGGGGTTTTGGTACCAGAGGCTATCAACCTCCTGTAAGACAAGTTGCGCTTAGCATTGGCAAGACTAACACGGCGCAGGAACAAACCATGAACCCCCCTTCTGGATATCGTGATTATCCAATTAACATCTCCTCGGAAATTTTCAATGTGGGGCTGATCATATTTAGCTTGATGGAGGGACGCGAGAGAACTGTGGACAGGTTCAAGGATAAGATACAGCACGATCAACGGTCGTATACATGCTCTTATAGTTATTCCCTAGAACGTCTCGTCTCGCAGTGCTTATACTTCAAACCTCCATTGAGACCGATACTAGAGGAGCTTCTATATGAGACCAGAGTAGGGCTTGAAAGATGGGAACGGGCCTATGGATCTGCCAATAAGCCCGAGGCTGAACTGCCCAGTTTTGCAGCCTTGCCTATCCAATATAGTGATCCATTTCCGATAGGAGGGAAAGCACCAGAGGAATGGTTAGGAATAAACCCCAGAAAGAGACGCATCGGCCAAGAAAACGAGGATGTTCGGGAATTTGAAGCAGCAAAAAAGAGGAAGACAATCGATGGACAAAGAGCACCACCACCGCCGCCAGTACGCAGCGAGAGTTTACCAACAGTGAGAGATGGGTCAGAAAAGCCAACAGCGCATGTCGATCATGCCCCGGTTAAGGGTGCACGAGTAACTCTCAATGAAGCAACAAAGGAAAACCTAAAAGCCATGGAAGAAAATACCGCAAAACAACGCCGTAAGAGGGCCAGCGTGGCTACCAAGAAGAATGCCAATGGCATAGATTCCAAACCAAGAAAGAAGATGGCAAAGGAAAAGATTCGACTCTACCTTACTGGGGAACTACCTGAACAGGCTGGCACACGGGATCGAGATTCTCCAAAAGAGTGAAGATAGCTAGTACCCGTTTACGACAGTGCACATATACAAGAGTATCTTGTGGGTCATGGTTTGACGATTGCGGATATTGCAGTCGTTTGTGGGGTGGGTCTCACCGACTACGCGAAATTGAGCAGGGAGGGCTGGGGGAGTGAATGGGAGAGGCTGGGGGAATGGTTCGATGAGCTTGATGTAAAGAAAATGTTTGAGGAGACGAGGCCGGTACTATTCATGTTGTACTGTTGCATGGGTGGCGTAGAAACCTATCAAGGAACTTCCATGGAGGTTTGGTTCTGAATTCAACTAGACTTCTTCAAAGTGGATTTGATACGACTCTTGAACGAAGGCCGATCTGGCTCTGACCGTACCTCACTCTTGTCAGCCAGCCTATCCCTCTCGTCTCTTCGCCGTGACACTTCGATACTGCTCACCAGAGTCACCATCGCCTTATCCACAGCGTGCCTATCCTTTGAAGAGACCTCAATGTGCCTGAAGCCCTGACTCTGTGCCCATTCCTCCGCCATTTCCTTCTCCACCTGTCGTTTCTCAGGGAGCTCTGTTACAAGGTCTAGCTTGTTTCCTACGAGTAAGAAGCCACACCGCTTTCCCCAGTTTGGGTTATGCGTACTCATGGCTTGGCGCAACCTGAGCACATGCATGTAGGCGTCCTGGGTCACAAGATCAAACGATTCATGGCTAGTTACATCGTAAATCAAAACAATGCCTTGGCAACTGGCGATGGAGCTGTCGAAGACGGCCTTGTCGAGGGTTGGGCCTGACTCTCGCAACATGGTCGAGCTTATGTCCACGGGCTGAAGTGGCCATTCTTTGTGATTGACCACAAGAACGCGCCGAATCTCATCAAAAGGATCGTGGTAGATGAAGTTCTCGCCCTTGAGGAACTAGATGAATAGTAAGTTCTGCGACTTGTGGGTGTGAGATGTACAGGCAAGCGGATGAGGTGTGCCAGTAAAGCTTACCATGTCGGCGAAGCATGTCTTGCCTACACCAGCTTCACCCAGGACCAGAACTCGCACACCATCAACTTTCGTCCCCAGTCTCATGTTAGACCTGTTTGAACAAAATCTCGCAAAAGATGTCATGAGATGGATGGATGGATGATGATGATGATGAGGGCGTGGCACGTTGGCGACTGCCTGAACTGAATGGCGCTAATGGGGAGGGGGAGTGACGAGTGTAACTTCACTCTGAATTCCGACCTCATCCACAAACTCAAGACAACAACCTCAGCATCAGCGCGACCTATGGAGTTGTGCTCTTCAAGTGCGCGCGTCGCCAACCAGTCGCAACAACTACGGCTACGGGATATATGGCGGGGGCCCGACATGACGCTCAAGATGCAGTTCTCAGTAGCGCCCCAAACCTCTGTCGCCAAGCTACCATGGTACAGCGCTGAGCGGGCCTGCATCCGAGCGTCGCCGGGATCGTCTCCCTTGGAGCTTCTAGCAGCCGCGTCGTCCAGGGCTGCTTTGTTGTGAAGAGGAAACTCATGGTCCTCGCGACGCCGGGAGGGTGTGAAAAGGGCCGGATACGCCTGACGTCTACGTGCTGTGTAGTTCGTTGTCGTTTCCACCAGCCTCGAGTCCCAGGCGCGGCTTCCCCCACCCCTCGCCCTCCAGAAACCACCGACATCTAAAGGTCTCGCCTTGAAACGTCACGCGTCGGGCGTAAGAAGGCTCACGGGGTTTCCTGCAAGAGACAGAGACCAGCAACGGACGACAGCTTTTTGTCATCTATCGATATCTGACCGCTCAACCCATCTCTTTGATCGTTGTTCCCCATACGGGCATTTTATGCCGCCGCCTGCGTTTTCCCGAGCCTCAGCTTCTCGAGCAGTCGACAGCCAACCACGAGGCACGCCCCACCTGCTTGGTGTGCAGTGCATGCTGCACGCCGCCTTCTGTCGTCCCGATGACGTACGACCATCACTTGCGCGCGCCGCAACGTCCTCTTATCGACTTGATCCCAGATGACCGCCATGATGTCGATGTTTCCGACGAAGAGGCCGACTTCTATGGCCCCGACGACGATTTCCTCACTCCGCTGAAGTGGGAGGACGCCCTCACACGCACCGCCGACCGCATACCGCGCCGCATCAAGCGCTCCCCCAGGTTCTACAGTGCCCTCCTCCTTGTCGCCCTCGTCACCTGGTGCACGTTCCTGGGCCCGCGATTTTCGGCCTACAGGCAGGAGTTGAGCCTGATGAGCAATACACCGATCCTCAGTTTTGGCAACAATGCGCAACCGGCCTTCAAGGGCATGATTCAGGTCAGTGACATGGACCAGGAGCATCTGCCCGAGAAGCACAAGCATAAGAGGCTTGTCTTTGTGGGCGATGTTCACGGCTGTCGCAAGGAACTCGAGCATCTGCTGGACAAGATCGAATTCGACGACGAGCGCGACCACCTCGTCCTGACCGGTGACATGATTGCCAAAGGCCCCGACTCGCCAGGTGTCATCAAACTTGCCCAAAAGATGGGCGCCTCCTGTGTCCGCGGTAACTGGGAAGACAAGCTCCTCCTCTCCATCGCCGAAGCAAAAGAGAATATCCTCGTAACGGCCAACACCGCCACGGACTCCGGAACCTCTCCCGTGAACCCAGACCACCCTGACGCCGTTGCCCCCTCGCAAAACGCCCATGCCTCATCCTCCCTACACAAACTTGCCAAAAAATTCACTAAGAAAGAAATCGCCTACCTCCAATCATGTCCCGTCATTCTACGCGTAGGTACTGTCCCCAACCTAGGTACTCTAGTCGCCGTCCACGCTGGGCTCGTCCCAGAGATTCCCCTTGAGCGCCAAGATCCATTCCACGTCATGAATATGCGTACCATTGACCTCAAACCCCGAATCCCGAGCTCGAAACACAGCGGTACGCCGTGGGAGAAGCTGTGGAATCATCACCAGAAGAAGCTTCATAAGAAGGAGAGGGTCAGCATTGTGTATGGGCACAATAGGAAGAAGGGGTTGAACATCAGGAAGTATACATATGGTTTGGATACTGGTTGTGTTAGCGGTGGAAGGCTTACTGCCCTAGTCGTGGATGGAAATGGAGAGAAGGAGCTTGTACATGTCAAGTGTGGGAAAGAGGGTGGTTATGATGCAGAGTAGGCGGGTCTGCCTCTGCAATATCGCTTTTCTTTCTACGGGATCGACGTATCGACTTTGGTCAATTATCTTCATGAACTCTTCGTTGTGGATGGTGTCGAGCTAGGAGCTGCATTGTATAGCGGACTTGGATATCACGCATTTTATACCTCTTCTTTGGGTGGACGTAAGAACAGTGGATTTTCTTGGCAGCCTAGCATAGTATTGCATAGAATTGCATTCATCTATACGTTTTGAGAGCAGGTGTTCGTGACTGTAATCGTCTTCGACAGTGATTGGTCTTGTTGTATAACGGAAGAAAGCCTTTGTATGATAGGGCTAGGGGGTCTTTTTTTGTGTGGTCTTGAGACTGCTGGAGGAAAGGAGTGATGTGGTGACAAAATGCGGCAGTCAAGATAGCGATGATGCGGCCCTGATTGTACGCACATTCCGTATTTTTGAACCTATCATGTATGATGAGTACAGAGCTCTATTGTCGTCGTCGTCATCGTCATCATCACTGTCATTGTAATAATCTTTGTATATGGGTTCATAACATTACGTGACAGATATACGCAATGTACCCGGTCATATCGTACTATGGGAAGTTGGGGGCAACAACAGGGCAAGCCGATTCATCACCCTTTGTACTACAGATAATCTCTCTCCGTCTCCTCGCATCTCAACCATGCAGTCACACTTGACACCAGCCATCATCCCATCCCCTACTCTTCACCCTCCCTCTTTGTATACTGGTTTTCGTCGGTCTTCTCAATGCCCGCATTGCCCATGGCCGGAGACAGGTTGCCTTTAGGATCATGCTCTTTCTTCACATGACCCAACTGCCTCGGTTGCGGAAGCGGTGTAGAGTATGGTAATTGCATGAGCGGCATACCCGTTCCACCATGTCCATTATCAAAAGTAGGGAACTGGATTGCACTGGCAAGATTACGAGTCGTATGTTTCACCTGATCGCCAAGTCGAGATTGGAAGTGTGCCACAGCTGGTCCACGGCGATCGTGACCGCGCATGGGGCCAATTGCATAGGGAAGCCCGTTGAGAAAGGGTTGGAATGGTGGGGTAGGCGGAGCCCTATAGCCCTGACGCGGAAGCTGCATGTCGTCTGTGGGATATTCTGAACTATGTAGGCGAGCTTGCGTCAGTTGCGCGAGTTGCTCTTCGAGTTGGCGGATGATGTGGACTTGATGGGCGATCTTTTGCTCATGGGCCCTCATGTGGTGATCAAGAGTGCCAGCAAGGTCGCGCATCTTCGTTGCTCGCTGCTCAAGCATTTGGACCATTTCTCCAGTGACTCCCTTGTCTTGGTAGATTGCCGTATCCCCGTTCCTCAATCTGATGGTTTCACGGTCGATCTGGCCATAGGTCGCGGCGTCGGTCTCAGAGGTCTTGTTGTTGACTTTGGCAACGACGAGGATACTATCCGTGTCTTCTAGGCTCATTTCGGGATACTGATTGTCCTTGATATCGTTTGGAGTCATGTCGTAAGTGATGACGATGTTCTTGATTCGGTGTTCGTCCTCTGGGATTGGCGCAGCATAGCGAAAGATGAAAGCCCAGTCCACGCCAAACTCTTTGCCACGGTAGGAGCAAAAGGCGTCGAAGCTGGGACCAAACTTTTGGGAGCGACGTATAGTCAAAATGGACAAGATTTCGTTGCCCTGATCGTCAAAGATGTTACAGCGAACAATCAGCCTCATGATGCAATCAGTGCTCCGACTGGCGTTCTATGGGGGATTAGCAACTACATCAGGTAGTATAGGTATCTATCGGTGCAGCATACCTGTCGGGCAACATGATCTGATGGAGCGAAACTACGCTGATCCGTAAACAGATTTTCTTTGCTTTCGGCGTGGGCTTTGGGGATGAGTTGGTCTGAAGATGGCTTGCGACATGGAGCACGCGAGTCTCCGCCATGCATTCGGGTGATGGAGGGATCCCTAGATGGTACTCGTGAGCCCGGCACACACGTGCGACTATGACTGGGACGAAAGCTCGATAATATCATCTCATTATTATCGTCGTAGATCTGGAAATCAGGAAGACGAGACGAGCCGCCACGCGCTTCTGGTGGCTGAGTAGCTCGTGAACGATAGCGAAGGTCCCTAGCAGACAGACCCATATTCTGCATATTTTGCTGTTGAACCTGGCGAATTTGTCGGATTTGTTGCATAGTCTGAGACTGTTTGTTTGTATCAAGGCCAGGTCGAAGCTGGTCATGAGATCCAAAGGACAGGTGCTGTGGACCAAATGGGTCATGTGCTGGCGTATTGGAAGGTAAAGTTGATAAATTCTGGGATGATCTAGGGGTATAGTATCCAGAAAGATTACTGAACCGACATGGAACTCCATGAGGAGCAGGGTACAAGCCACTCTGATTGGACTGATTATGCAACTGCTGTCGGAAGTCTGACAGCCGCGACAGATCCTGTTCATGAGACATAAGACGTTCGCCGCGCGAGTTCAGAAAGCCATCGTTGTATAGTGCTGGCTCAAAAGGACGTTTGGGTTGCCCCAGATTTGCAGCGTTGGAACGAGGCCTGTGGGATAGCTCTGTGAGTTGTTAGCACACATGCAATGTAACCTTCCGTGATCTGGATTAGCTGCTGGATACGACTTACCCTCTTCAGCACCGCTGGCCGCACATGAATTTCCTTTTCTGGACGAACACGAAGATTCCGACTCATTAGAGGACTCTTCCTTAAGAGCAACATGTACTTGTACGTCTTCAGATCTGGGATTCTGAACGACATCGGCGACACGTTTAGTCCTATGCTTGGACTGTGGACTTGTCTCTGGCGACTCAATAGCCTTCTGCTTGGACTGTGGACTTGTCTCTGGCGACTCAATAGCCTTCTGCTTTGGGAGCCCACGGTTTGATTTTGGCATGATACGGGGTCTGCTAGGTCCAGCCACTTGATCCCGCGGGAAAGAAACGGAGGTAGATCCCTTCACTGCTTCACCGTGCTTTGTACACGTCTGGTCTGTTTCCTCGCAATGAGTGCAACGTACATCTCGGAGAAAACCATCACACTGATCCGAGCCGTCTGTGCAGCACTCAGCGCACATCTTCCAACATGAATGTCGGATGTGGGCCTGGTGATAGTGTCAGTGTGGAGCTGTATGCCTACGGCAGGACAATACTGACCACTACGTCCCGGTTCCTGGTATACTTCACATGGCAGCGGGAGCAGACAAAGTTCACATTGATGTTCGCATTCTTTGCTCGCTTTGATCGGTTCTTTGCGCATGTGGATTTCTTTTCATTGCGGTGGCGCTATCAAGGGATTAGCTGGAGTAGAGCGGGTTGGAAGCTGATACATGCAGTCAAGCTCGCGAGTGTCTTGTAGGCCTTATCACAGTATGGACAGGGATACTTCTCTGTATTTGCATCCCCATCTAAGCCTTCGTTATGTTTGACCGGCTGAGCGCTTCCAGCAATACTGTCACCATCTTGATCTTTGCCATCGCTTGCTATGTCGCCGTCGATTGCTTGGTCAGCTGTTATGGACCTTGCAGACCATGCCGGCCTCGGATCTGATGAGGCTGATGAGTTCATGACCACAAATGACGAAGTCGTGATTGATGAACACTGGCTGCATCAGTCATGAGTATGCGCATCGTCTCAAGTTGGATATGTTGTAATTGTACTTACAAGTGAGCGAGTGACTGGAAGTCGTATCGTACTCAAGTTGGTAATTCAGATCGTGTGTGCGTGTAGCTGAAAATGCCAGAATTGAGTCTGACAGTGTGCAAAGTTAGGGTTGAAAAGTCCTACTGTAGAAACGAGCCGTGAGTCAACAGTTCAACGCTAGCTGGTCCTGCGCAGAGGTTCACCGTTTGACTGGTTTCAAGAAGCCTGTTACGCCTTAGAAGTAACCAATACCGGTAGAAGCGCATGGAAAGGCGTTGTGCAAACGAAGATTGCAGAGCGGCAGGAAGGAAGCGCTGAACTACGCGTTTTTACTCATACAAGGAGATGAAATGATGCCAGCAGTTCTTATTCGTTTAGCACGTAGATTATTTACATGACGCGATGTCGATGAGCGTACGAAGAGAGTACTATGTGAGTCGAAGAATGAGTAGAAGTACAGTTGAATGTTCTAACCATCGACATAAGGCCAGATGACAGAGCTACAATAGTGGCTGTCTGGTAGTCTGAATGAAAAATGCGAGATAAGAAATCCGTATTTCATCAGGGATCAAAGAGGAATGGACAGGAGGAACGAAACCTATAGAAACCGACATTCTTGAGATTCATGACAAAAAGGAGATGGTAGGTACATGATGTAGTATCTAATGGCCAAGCCAGATGCTGCCATCAACCGCCGAATGAAATGTATTCTTGTGAAGGGAAGTAGTGAAAACCTGCTGGATTATCTGATATGAATTAGAGAATGGTTTCGGATGTGCTCCTCATCAATGGCTCGACGCATATTGCACGCCACTCGTCGTTGTATTGGACCATTCAAGTTCGATGTATGCTTATACCCAAGCGTTCTTATGCGTAAACAAGACCTGAATCCATGATAAATAGAATTGAATGGGCTTAGATGCAACTAGTGAGGTAAACGAGGAACAGTTATGCCGGCTGGTGGTGCTGCCGCATCCAGAGACCTGCGCTAGTTGCACATTCCACGTCACCAAACATGGGGATTGGACCATAAATATCATGCGATCATCGATACCACCATCACAGCTAGCCTTAATTCTGGACATGCTGAATTGAACCAAGAGTTGATTTACTGGTCCAGTTGGCCGGGTACACTGCGTCCAGCTTGTTGTTCCGCCGATACAATGAGCCTTATTGCAACATCATAGAATGCCTAAAGCTTGATGAGACTTCAATGTATACCGGTATGTAGGTGCTCAATGTCTCAGATCTGAATCATGTCTCCACTCATCAAGAATAACTAGGTCACGGTGATAGTACTACTCCCACTGGGAAGCAAAGTGCCGTTTGCAAATCCCTCCGTACACATGATCATATAATTATGATTTCCCAGCCTCATTCCAGCCTTGGACCATGCGTCAAAATGCTTACTCGTCGTGATCGTTCCCCCAACGCGTTTCTCAGTTCTGACAGACCAGAATTGGGTGAAGGTTCGAGTGCCTTCGATGGATGGCTTGTTGACGCGCTGGCTGGTGTACAGCTCATATGTCCCTTCTTCAAACGTGAAGTTGCCCTTTTTAGTCCATGGCTCACCCGGCGCAAGGATGTCGTAAGATTCGATAATGTAGTATTCAATAAGTGGGTTCTGCGTCCAACCGTAAAGGGCGAGATACCCTGGACCTTTGGCATCATATGTGCCGGAATACTTGACAGTTCTGTATTGGCAATATTAGCGCGCTGTGTCTCGTGCTCAAGAGAATGAGTGCACTACCTTGAGCCCCCTGGCTTAAAGCCTGTGCCAGCGACGAAGCCTCCTCCTGGCTGACCAGACCACTTGCAAGTGTACTTCCCACCGCCTTGTTGATTGCATTGGAAGGAACCGGCACCTTCTGACCAAAAAGAGTAATAGCCTCCTTGTCTAACTCGGAGTGCCTTGCCCACTGTTTCGTGGTTGATATGTGTGGCTATATTTCGAGGTGCGATACCTGCTGAGGCCACAGTAGCCAACACAGTTACGACAAGCTGTAAGAAGGACAACATAATTGAGAAGGTAATCAGAGTCTTGAAGTGACCGAAGGCTGTTTTACCAACTTATAGACTGCCCTCTTGGATTTGCCCTGGGCCTGGATAGTGGAAACTATGCAAGAGCCGCCTGGGGTAGTATTACCATTACTACATATATGATCCGCTTCTCCCCCTCTTCAGGCACAATCTGGTACTTCAATGTTGGATTTGTGGAGTTCCCTTCCTGCCTACGCCCAACTTATAAGTGATAGTGGTTTCGGGATATGAGGCGCCAAGGTTGGGGTACTTGCTATTGACTGACAGCATTTGCCGCCGGCAGCTGTCGACCAGGATAACTGCGCATCCAGATTAAGGTTACATGATCTACTGCTTCATGTATATGCCCGCGAAGAAAATTGAGACCTTGTGTGGAGCATGAGTGATATTGCAAGAATAAGGCGTTGATCAGATGATCGAAAGAGGGCGTACACGGCCGACATCTGACTTATCACACGATTGGATTATGAGAACATCGGCTAGCACAAGAAGTAACTTCTCAAACAGCGAGATGCAGCAGGACGACAGAAAGTTCGAGCAGCGCTCTCTAGCACTGTAAATAAACCTCCCCTTTCCTGCCGTCTAGTCACAGCTTCCAGAGTCCATACACTCAGCAGTACTTCTGCTTCGTAGCCCAGTCACACATTACTTTTCCCACACAGCTGCAGCATTTGCACACCTTTGATTCACTGTCAGCGCCAGGTATCCGTTGAAGGGGTCTGAAGCTGTGATGTATCCCACCTTTTTCTGCTTTGCTGCATTGTCATCCCCGTCGATACAAGTCAAGGCCTGGGCGTTTTGGAACTTGAACTTGTTGTAGCATGCGTTTGCATTGATAACTGCTGCGCAGTCGTCACTCCGTGCAACTTCTGCCGTACATTCAGGGTATGCCTGCGCCTGTGCGAGAGCGAGGAAAGTCGTGACAATGCTACAAGAAAGTTTCATCTTGGTTGAAGTGATTAACAGAGGCACGAGGTTGAAGAGGCTTAACTGTATGCTGAAGGCGCAGACCGGTTTAGCTAAGTTATGATATTTGACAATTTTGCACGGCCAGGTCCACAGGTCATGTCAAGAGCGGCATCATGGGCCCGAGATACAGCTGTACCGAGATTTTTAAGGTTGCTCTAGATGCAGAGAATACCGGTATGATCAGTTTGACATTAAAATTCAAGCCAAGGACTCTGTCGTATATAAGCTGTCAGTTTGTGTGCTTGTGGTGGGTCGGAAAGATCATATCGTTCCCCCAGCATCCCTACAATTTCCATGTCCATAGTATGTGTGTAGCAGATGGATATAGTCTTAGCCAACCAGTTCGAGATCCAGTGTGCTCCTCTCGCTAGTCGTTCGGTGAGGATGGTCAATTCTCCTTGGCGGACCAACCCACATTCGCTGCGCCATATTACTTTGCATTGTTCCATAGTACGGCTGTTACGCTTGAAAAGCGTACGCAGGCGGCAGTCCAAACATAGTTGGATGCCAACGCCCGACCACATTGATGACAGCGATGCTCTTGTATCGGTATAATTGTGCAAAAGCATCATGAGCGCGTCAAATCGTAGAGGGTAACAGACACGAATCATGATTTTCAAAAACATCATCACTGCCCTTGGGCTTCTTGGACCTGTGCATGCAGGTCTATTGCGCTTTGGCTGTGCACAGCTGACGGTCCAGCGACTTGACCCCTTGGTCAATCCTGGATCTAACCCATCACCGCATCTGCACCAGATCATCGGCGGCGTACGCTCTACCCCAGCTTGAGTCATCCTCAATGCGTAGTGTTGACACTTCCAGAACTCTTTCAACATAACCATGGATCCAGCAAAAGGACATGACCTGGCGAAGTCGACCTGTACAAGCTGCGAATTTAGTGAAGACTTTAGTGGGTACTACCACCATTTGTCTACACAAAGACAAAGCCAGGCCAGATGCATCCTCTAACACGAGCCACAGGCAACTACTGGACCGCAGTCGTCTATTTCCGCGCCAAAAACGGAACCTACAAGCGCGTCCCCCAACGCGCTCAACAGGGTTTCGAGGGCACGGTCGGCGGTATGGTGGTGTACTACATGACTGACGCCCTCTTCAGCACGACGCAATCGTCCAAAGTCACAGCCTTCAAGCCCGGATTCCGTATGCTCATCGGTGACGTCAACGGCAAGAACCGTGAAGATGCACGGGCGTTCCGTCAGTTGACGTACATTTGCATGCAAAACGAGGGGACGCGTGAGCCCGAGACACTGGAGTTTCCGAAGCAAGCGTGTCCGATGGGCATCATGATCAACCATCGATTCCCCACTTGTTGGGACGGTGTCAATCTCGACTCTCCCAACCACAGCGAACATGTGGCCTATCCCGCAACGGGCACCTTTGAAAACGGGGGCGCATGCCCGTCTACACACCCTGTTCGGCTCCCGCAGATTCTCCTGGAAACGGTGTGGGATACCAGGGCGTTCAACAACAAAGCCGACTGGCCGAGTGATGGGAGCCAGCCGTTTGTGTGGAGTAGTGGGGATAGGACGGGCTACGGTACCCATGCGGACTATGTGTTTGGATGGAAAGATGATAGCTTGCAGAAGGCAATGGATGGGAACAATTATGTTAGCGCGCCGACGTTGAAGAAGCAGAATATTGCAACGCAGAACAAGTGTACGGTCAAGGACATGGTGGGAGAGGAGTTTGATGGGTGGTTGACGGCGTTGCCAGGGGGTATGGTGACTTGAGTGAGTTGGGACTGGAATCAAGTATCGTTGGCTGTGTGCCGGTCGGTAGGTAGGCAAGCGACTAGGTTACACTTACTTGTGTTGGGGAGATGTGATTTGATTTACTGGCAGCAATGGTAGTACCACTACTAGCAGACGGGTAGGTACACTGATGACATGATCAAACATGATGGAGTACCTAGAGTACTCCCGTCTCCGTCTCCGTCCTAGCTGGGCATGCAACTGACGTGATTTGCCATGTGAGGGCTCGACAATAGTCCCAACTTGATTGTTTTGGAGTTCTAGAGGTGAGATATACCGGTAGGCGCAGAGAGCCAGCCAGCCAGTACTAAACTCTTTTTCTCTCTCTCTCTCTCTCTCCCTCTCTCTCTCTCTCCCTCTCTCTCTCTCTCTCCCTCTCTCTCTCCCTCTCTCTCTCTCTCCCTCTCTCTCTCTCTCCCTCTCTCTCTCTCTCTCCCTCTCTCTCTCCCTCTCACACACTCACGTAGCACACCAGAGTAGGGTAGACGCCGAGTCACGTGATGGTCCAATGGGCATCTAACCGGATGTGGGCGGGCCAGGGTCCAAGGGTCTAGCTTGTCGTGGTACCTACCGTACATGACAGCCACCTTGCCTAGGTACGGTACCGGCACGGTAATGAGACGGCAAAGTGGAAAGAAAGCTCGCCAGGCCGTTCATCACATCTCTTCTTCGTTTCTTGTACTCTACTCTAGAAGGCGTAAAGGAACTCGCCCTTTTGGCCCGGCTTAGGCCACCAGGTCGTGCACGCTTTTGTTTGATCCATGACATGCATCCTGGTAGTACCTAGGCCTGCCAAGGTAAATGGATAGGAGGCCGCCAACGCCTGAACCTCGGCTGATGGGAAGCTTGTCCCTATGTATAGTATACTCTCGACGACCTAGGCCGTGACAAGGTGCGGAGGTGCGGAGATAAAGGCGGTCCAGGGTGGAGGTTTCGGGTCTTGTCCGCCGTGGTACCCGTCCATCGTTTATTCCGAATCTTCTTTTTTGGGGGGTCCCAAACGGCCAATACCACACGCACATCATTCTAGTGAACGGCTGCTGACATGTCCGACGATAACATCACATCCGCGTCCGTGGTAGAGGAAAAGGAGGAGGAGCACGAGGAGACCAAGGTCGAGCACGAGGACTTGCAGGAGCTGGTCGATGACATAGCCGACGCCGCGCCCTCTGTCTCGCCCAGTCGTCTGAAGCCGAGCAAGAATGGCGTGGTAGCGGCTCTCAAAAAGGTGGATGAGACCATCTTGCGAATCAACAAGTGAGTAAGGGTGACCGAGATCTGTTATACCTGTACCTGGAAGAAGAAAGGGTTGCAGGCTGACGAATGCCATCTTGTGCGACCTCTCCAGGCTCCTAGCCTCTCCAGGCGGCCTCTCCGCATTCCTCTCCACCTTCAACTACTCGCTCTACATCCTCGCCTACCTCCAAGCCAAATCGCCCGCCCTCTCGAGCTTTGCCCGAAGGCTCCTCGCCCTGGTCCGCCGCACGACCGACAACACAAAGCTTTCGGCGGCGAGCCTCGGCAACCATGGCGGCGACGTGCCCCCCGTGGCCGCCCTCGCCGTCCTCATCTCCAAGGCGCGCACGACGTTGCGCCTGTTTGGCCTCTTCCCGCTCTACACCTGGTTACGCACATTGGCGGCAGGACCCAAGCCCGGCGCCGACGGAGTGCTGCACAAGCTTGCGCTGCTGCAAGCTAGCAGCTACTTCACCTACCAGGTGCTCGAAAACATCTCGCTCCTTGCAGACTCGGGTGTCGTATCCCCCTCGACCGTGGCAGCGATCAACCGCGGCGACTCAAAAACGGCTCGTCTCTACCTGTGGGCCTACCGCGCATGGCTGGGCGGCGTTTCGTGCGACTTCTTGCGCCTTGCGCGTGAGTGGCAGCTCGAGAGCCATAGGAGGTCCGTCAGGGCGCAAATGGTCGGCGAGGGCAAGGCCATTGCCGAATACCAGGACGAAGAGGACGCCAAGTTCGACTCTAGGTGGTGGACCGATCTCATGATTGCGAGCGCATGGTTGCCCATGGCTCTTCATTTCAGTAGCGCCACGGGTGGCATCCCTGGTTGGAATCTGGGCTGGATGGGCTTGTGTGGTCTGGTTGCAGGGAGCACGAGGGTCAAGGCACTGTGGGCAAGCACTGCCTAGAGAAGGAGAGAAGGGAGAATCATGGACATGGACATGGACATGGACATGGGCATGGGCAGCCGAATAGGATAGTTCTGGCAGGACTAGGCGCCGTGGCAAAATGCGTGTACCCCCATCTGATATGTCACTTTTCCTCGGGAGGTCCCAATCGCTTTATACATGTACACATGTACATATACACATACACACACATATATATATATATGTAAATCTTGCTTGGCCGCTTTCTCGCTACACAGGGCCAGCCTGGTGTCGAATGTAGGCATGGCATGATAGGGGGGCTTACATGGCGACTGTCTGTCTCTGTCCCTTATCTGGCTGCTTAGCCGGTCAGGGAAGGCGCAACCGACTATCTGAAAGTGGGGAAGCATGCAAGTCACCACTTGCTGTGCTTTCCCTCTGGATCACACCCACAATTATAAGCTGTCTTCCTTGAAACACCTAATGATCCCCCTTCATTCATCTCCCATCCCATCCGTCAATACTATCGGCCTGTCATCTGAACACCAAATCAAAACAAGTGTACACAGAGTATACAAGTCTTACATGATGATGATGATGATGGTAAGTGGAACGGCCATCACCCAGAAACACAGCACTGACGTAGCACTAGGTTTCCTCAACCGCCCCAAAATTGGCGGGGTTCAATATTGTAGAAGCGAGTATCGAGCAGCATAGAGAGGCTCTAGAGTCCAGAAAGGTGACCAGCATAGACCTGGCCGTAGCCTATATGAACCGCATTGCCACTTACGACACGTGCGGCGGCCTCAATGCATTTACCATCATCAACCCTAAGGTTTTCGAAGAGGCAACCGCATCAGATGCACGGAGAAGCCAAGGGCTGGCACCACGCGCGCTTGAAGGAATCCCATACGCGATCAAAGACAGCTACAAAGTGGCCGGCATGAGCGTAACCAACGGCTCGCCTGCACTCAAAGGCGTCATGTCGAGCAAAGATTCAGCCATCGCCGAAAAGCTGAGAGCTGCTGGTGCCGTATTACTGGGGAAGACAAATATGCCACCCATGGCTGCAGGAGGCATGCAAAGAGGCATGTATGGCCGCGCCGAGTCTCCCTACAACTCGCGCTATCTTACAGGCGCTTTCTCCTCTGGCTCCTCAAACGGCGCGGCAACTTCTGTTGCAGCAAGCATGGCAGCCTTCGGTATGGGTAGCGAAACTGTCAGCAGTGGCCGAAGTCCAGCTTCTAACAATGGACTGGTTTGCTACACGCCATCAAAGGGCTTGTTAAGCTGTAGAGGTCTATGGCCCCTATATATCACTTGTGACGTACCTTCACCATATGCGCGATCAGTGAGCGACATGATGGATCTGCTGACTGTGATTGCAACACCGGATGACGACACTGCAGGTGACTTCATCCGTGAACAAAGGCACATAGCGGTACCGAAACCTCAGGCGATCGACTACAACTCTCTGAAAAACACGGACGCTTTGAGAGGAAAGAGGATTGGAGTGCCAAACTTGTACGTGGGAAAAAAAGACTCAGATCCGTATGCCAAACCTACGTTTGTTTCGGAAGAAGTGATTGAGCTGTGGAAGAAGGCCGCAAAGGACTTGGAAGCCTTAGGCGCAGAAGTAGTTTACACCGACTTTCCTCTCATCACAAATTACGAGAATGATTCTACCTCTGGCGAAGCGAACAATGTGGATGGTCGACCAGCGGACTGGAATCTGTTGGAACGGAGCCATCTGATCGCGCAGGCCTGGAACGAATTCCTGGTCAAGAACAACGACGAGAATATCAAGAGCCTAACGGACATTAAAGACCCCGCAATGCTCTTTCCGAAACCTCAAGGGTACCTACCGGACAAGTTTCTTGAAGTGAGAAACTGGATCGATTACCCCGGCCTGCCCTCTCTTCTCAGCCAGATCAAAGAAAGTTCAATTCACAGTGTCCAGGGCATGGAACGGGCTCTCAAAGCCCTTGAAGCACAACGCAAACGTGATCTTGAAGACTGGATGGACAACAATAAACTGGATGTCGTTGCCTTTCCTGCACAGGGCGATGTTGGATTAGCAGATCTTGAGACAAACCTGGAGAGTACAACGCACAGCTTGCGAAATGGTGTCAAGTACTCCAATGGTAACCGTGCAATTCGACATTTAGGAGTCCCCACCGTCAGCGTGCCCATGGGTGTCATGAGCAAAAAGGGTATGCCGGTCAACTTGACCTTCGCTGTCAAGGCGTATGAAGACTACAAGCTTCTCGAGTACGCGTATGCATATGAGCAAGCTACAAAAAACCGTATTCCGCCACCTTCCACGCCTGCACTGCCTACCGACATGATACCATTGTGCCAGTCAATAGGCGAATCAGAGTTAGCACCGAAGAGCTCTCAACTCACCGCCGATGCCTATGCCGAAGCAGTGGCCGACTGTACCAACGCGATGAAGATTCATATCCGTGGCAATGCAGCTGGTTTTGCCTCCATCCAAATCTATGTTGACGGCGAACTTACTCCCATTAATCTAGGTCCCGTTAGGAAAGGCAATGGAGATTGGAGCTTGACGCTCACCCATGAACTGAGACGACCAGAGTGTCTAGGCTGGGATCTCAAGCCGTTGAAACCGAAGCCTGTTATGTGTATTGCTGTTGCGGTAGAAGACAATGTGGCGCGGGCGGCCAAGGTCCTATGGATACCTATTCCACATGGGGTGACTGCGCATACGTAGATGCGGATTGTCATGGGGAATAGCATGGTGTACGACAATGTGAATCCAAGAAAACAAGAATGATTGTGAACAGGCAAAGGGTGGAGATCCAACACAGTGTTGGCCCATATTTCTTTTACAGTATAAGAGGCTAGAACTAACCAGATGTTGTCGAACTTGGACTTGTTTCACACAGACTCACACGCCCAAGCACACTGGTGCATAACTTTGAGAGAGGAGAACTCTAATATAATTCAGAATCCTCCATCTCGATCTAGAAAGCAGTTGTCCAACTCACTTGATCCACCCAGCCCGATAGATATTACGACTCTCAAGCAAGCTCTCCACTACTCAACATGACTCACACTTTTGCCATGCCCTCCACTATCATGACACTCGGCGCCCAAGCTATGGAGCCATGGGCCATGGGACATTCCATAGGCAATTTGCTCACCCAAATCCACGCGCTCGTCGACACACATCTTTCGCACCCCTCAACCTATCGCAGCATCGTTCCCTCGACCCTGGATTTCGTCCCCGCGCTCGACGCCTACCTCGCTCATCAACGAGCGGTAGATGGCTGTACCTTGCCAATGCCCTATGATTACCAGAACACGACGGATCGCAAGACTCGCGCGAGCCGGCGTAGGTTTGTGGCCAGGTATTCGCGCATGCTGGAGGCGGAGTTCAAGCGTACGGTGCTTGAGCAGTTGTCCAGTATCTTCCAGGACTGGAGTGTAGAGCAGACGCGACTGTTCAATAAGGGTGTTGATAAAGCGGTGTGTGGGATACAATGGGTTGCCTATCCCGAAGAGAACGTAGCCATGTGTGCTGGAGACGGGGACTGGGCGACCTGGCTTAAAGAGCGATGTGATGAATTGGGGATGCGCGAGTTTGGGGCGGGACGGAAGGCTTTGGAGGAGATTTGAGTTTGTTTCTCTGCCGCTCAGCTGGAACCTGCAAAGGTTTCTGGTATGATGCTGAACCTGCATACCAAATGAGAGCCGACCAGATGTCTGAGTAGATGATATACCAGTGTCATGCATCTGCTTGATATCTTTGTGTAAAGAATACACGTCACTTGACACCCTTGATTTCACTGTCTTTAAAGCGGGTTACCGGTACATGGAGTCTTTGGATGCTCCCTGGCCAGACTCCAGGTGAGGTTGTGGTGCTGTGATTGGTGTTCCTTGTAGGGCTGCATAACGGCCATGAACGTAACTGGGCGATTGACGCATGGCTAGGCATACTATGCAGGACTAGACAGCTGTCGACGAGGGTTTGGACAAGGTGGGCAAGAATGTGCGGCCGACAGGTGGAGGTGGTGGAGGTGGTGGTGGAGTAACCTAGCCCAATGCACCTGACCCGGGATATGCTGGCATCAATCAGTGGATGATTGTCCGGGGACGCCAACGGACAGGGTCCAAGGACCACGTGACCTTTGTTATGCGACCGTAACGTTGGCTTGGGGCCCAACTCTTGTGAAAGGTTGAAACGCAATTGGAACCAAACCCACACTGCACAGCCTCTCTCCTCTCCTCCTCTCCCAATCTCACCCTCTTCTTACGCCTCGACTTATACTGGAAAACGAGGGCCACAGGCTGCCTACATTTCTACCACATCCGTACTGCCGTACTCCTCCTAGAAGCCTCCTTTTTTGAAGACTACACAGCCATGGCCGGCCGTTTTGTGAGAGCATCCAAATATCGTGAGTGCACACACTGGGTCCGCGACAGCTCCCAGCTACTTTGTAAGCGCAGTGGCACTGACACGAAACGCGCGATATTCTAGGCCACGTATTTGGAAAGGGCACCAAGAAGGTAGACAATCATGTCCATGTCAATCAACGAGCTGCAACTCATACCCATCTTAGGAGCAATGCTACGATAACCTGCGCATCTCCAAGAATGCCTGGGACACAAATCTGATCAAGGTCAGCATAGCGCGCACGCGCCCTGGCGCAAAACAGTAGACTCATAGACCCATAGGCCAACCCAGAATACGTCTCGGTGAACTGGGAAGCCAGCGGCGGTGGTGCCTTTGCCGTCATCCCCATCAACGAGCGCGGTCGTGCTCCCGACCAGCTGCCCCTCTTCCGCGGCCACACGGCTGCTGTCCTCGACACCGACTGGTACGCTTCGTGCCGCTGTGCCTGCCAGAAGGCGCAGAGTAGGCTAATGCGTCGCATAGGAGTCCCTTCAACGATTCGCTCATCTCCTCGGCCTCGGACGACGGCAAGGTCTTCATCTGGAAGGTGCCCGAAAACTTTACACTGCACACGGATGCCGAAGAGCCCGCTGATGTCGCGCCGGTTGCGCGACTGAGCGGCCACATGAGGTCCGACTATGCGCCTTTGTCTCCTTGTCTCGCATACCTTCTCTAATCGTCCTGCAGGAAAGTCGGACATGTGCTCTTCAACTCGGCCGCCGAAAACGTCCTCGCCTCCGCGTCTGGCGACTATACGGTCAAGCTCTGGGACGTGGAAGCCGGTGTGGCAAAACTCACCCTCAAACACAACGACATTGTACAGTCGCTCTCGTGGAGCCCCGACGGCGCCCTTCTCGTCACCACCAGCCGAGACAAGAAGCTGCGCGTGTGGGATGTGCGGCAGGAGAAGCCCGCGCAGGAAGTTCCTGGTCATCCAGGTGCCAAGAACAGTCGCGCTGTGTGGATGGGTGAGACCGACCGCATTGCCACCACCGGCTTTTCGCGCATGAGCGATCGCCAACTTGGCTTGTGGGATCCGCGCAACCCCGCCGAGCCCATTGGCGGTTTCCAGATTCTCGACTCCATCTCGGGTGTCTGCATGCCCTTCTGGGACGATGGTACCTCCTGTCTGTACCTGGCTGGCAAGGGGTGAGTACACAGGATGATGCTGACAGAGACATGTGGGCCGAGACTGACTTTTCACAGTGATGGCAACATTCGCTACTACGAATACGAGAACGACAAATTTGAATACCTCTCCGAGTACAAGTCTGGTGATCCACAGCGCGGTATCGCTTTCCTTCCCAAGCGCGGCATCAATCTTCATGAGAATGAAGTACTCCGCTGCTTCAAGACTGTCAACGACTCCTACATTGAGCCCGTCTCCTTCATCGTCCCTCGTCGATCCGAAATGTTCCAGAGCGACATCTACCCACCCACTACTGGGTCCAAGCCTGGTGTTACAGCCGCTGAGTGGTTCGCTGGAAAGACTGCATTGCCGCCCAAGATCTCCCTTGAGAGTGTGTACGATGGCGGGGCCCCTCAAGAGGTTTCCTCAGACTACAAGCCCCCGCCCGTCGCCGTAGCCCAGTCCTCGCCAACCAAGGCTGAGGCGCCAAAGCCTACGCCCGAACCCACACCAGCATCTACCGCCTTTCGTGGACCGGCACTATCGATGAAGGATAACAAAGATTCACTGGCAGCTGGAGCATCCAAGTTTGCAGACAAGGACGACGTGTCAGACAATGGAAGCGCTTCGAGCTTCGAGGAGGTACCGAAACCCTTTGAACGCCCAACAGTTGCTGCTACACGACAAGAAGAGAAGAAGGAATCAGAACCAGTCGCGAAAGCCACTCCTGCACCAGCATTCACACCGTCCCACGTCAAATCGGCCTCGTCTGTTGCAGAACCTACACCTTCCTCTGCCACAACCTCTACGCCCAGCTCTAGTGGACCCGCCGGCGCCCTGCGAGACGCTCTAGGCGACATCAAGTCCCAGCTCGAACACCAGAACAAGGTCATGTCCGACCAGTCCGACCAGATTGCCGTCCTGGTGCGCGAGGTGACGACGCTCAAGTCCAAGCTAGGATCACAGGGACCTTCGGACCGTGAAAAGGACGAGCGTATTCGGCAGCTGGAGTTGGAGCTCGAGGAGGCTAGGTCTTGATTTACATTATTTGCCCGTTGCGTAGTGTAGTCGAGGCTGACATGTCGACTCAGTGCACGAAGTGATCATGGCGATGGTGCCTAGAAGACGATTGGGAGCCAGTGTTTTGGTTGCTTTTGAGCGGAATGTATGGGGTTGGTTTGGCTGATGTGTACGATGGTTCTCAAGTAGGTCTTGTTGTATGTGTAGGTATTGTTGGCCATTCAGTCAGCCTGCTTTGCTTTGCTTGCTTATTCCCCAAGGTGTTTAGGGTAGCGGCATTGTTTTGGAAAAAAAGTCAATATATACCATGTCTTCTTATTCGCACTCTTAATTTCATTTTTGCGTCGAGCCTAACAGTGGGTGTCGTCTCTCTGAACTTGTTGAGCGTTGTTGTGGGCAGGAGAGATTGACAAGGTCAATAGGGACGAAATTCGGCTGGGAATGAAGCCAGTTGTATTGCCGATCAAACCATGTTTCATGCCGTTTCTCTTGACTACTTACTCCTGGCTATCACTGTCCTACTTTCAACCTCGCTGAGGGTCCCGGTCACTCTCATCATCCTATCATTCCCGCTCGACGGAGATAATTCGGTCTCACATCTTCGTCAGCCACAATGGCTTACGAACATGTACCTTTAGACCTGACCAGCGAAACACTCGTATGCCTCGCTCTTCTCAGCGCTTGTGTTAGCCAGGCCAATCAACTTGCATCGATCCTTCACTCCTAAGCACCTGGGACAGGACTTGGCAAAGCTTATGCCTAGTTCTCATGCGGGATTTTTTCATCCAAGCTGTCAGCGCCACGAAGCTTGGTGGTGCTTGGCCGCGCAATGCTCCCTCCCCCCTTGCTCCTTGTCGTATCCATGTCGGCGTCTCTGGTGTAGGTACATGCGTTTTACCTTCTCTGGCCAATGATACATCGTGGCCTCGGGGTCTGGAGGGCTGAGCCACGTTTGCTGCGCCCCCTCTTTGATTTTTGATATGGCGGATGATGCCGTTTTAGAGGAGAGATGGCGGTGTGGGCCGCGGGGAGTGTGGTCTTTTGGCCAATAGGTGAATTGATAGCTGGATACAGGTAGGCGTTTGTCTGCAAAGTGCCACAGTATGCATGCTTCAGGGTGAAAGGCTGCATGTTTGAGTATGAGTAAGTTGTACTGAATGTGGACAAATGGCCTAGGATCCATGGCCTGCCAGGACGCTGAACTTTGTTCTCAGGCAACCACGTCGATCTGGCAATTTGTCAACGTGGGCCTCTTCTTCTACAGATATAAAGTCTCACACTACGCTCCTGTCCTTGTGCTTTTTCCTCGCTACACTCCAACTCCAGCTACAACTCCAACTCATCCACACCATTCACATCTACCACATCCCACGCTCGGCCACGATCTTCTCCCCGAAGCCCAGCCATGTAAGAGCAGTTTTGCTCATGGAATGAGACTTGATCTAATTAATTCTCTATTAGTACCACTACTGCCGCGACTCCACTCCACTCGCACATACTGCCGTCATGCCTGCCAGCGCTGCCTCCTCCATCTCCTCCATCGTCAAGCCTAAACCAGTCTCGTGCGGCGAGTCCTGCGATTGCTGTGGATGCGAAGAGTCATGCTGGTGTGTTGTGATGTAAAGACATGGATTCATGGCACTATTATGATAGCGAATGGTGATGTAGGGCAGACAGCTTTTTTGCGAGTGTAGCACCTTCGAAGCCGAGAGAAACATTTGAATAAACTACCATTTTGAAATCATCTTTCTTCTTTCAATTCAATGAAGCTCATTGTACGCCAGTTTCACGTCTGGTCACTGATTACGATATAATTTGCGTGTTGGTACGTTTCTCAGTGATTTGGTCTCATAATTGATGTCATCATGGCCATCATCAAGAGCCTGCTCATTCATCTGTGGATTTGATTATGAATATGAAAAGCCTAATATAATTGTGAGAAAACAGAATCATTATATGCAAGAGGGCGAAGCTATTTGTTCAGTCTCATCGCCCTATCCTCATCTCGCCACCATCTGCATTGCTCCATTCTGATACCCTCTTCCTCCTTTTCCATAATTGCACCTCCCTTATCGGGCGGATTCACCACCAGCTGCATACCGTTCTTCTCCGCACCCGTGTATTTTTCCCATGTCGGCGCACCGGCTGCAGCATGTGTATTCGGATCACCGCTAGCGACAAAGCTGGCCCAGTAGGCACTGTACAAGTCTGCTATTTCGGGATACTGCGTTCTTGCCTGTCCGTTGAAGTACGCTGCATCGCTCGCGTGAGGAACACCCATGTACGCAGGAGCCCAGTTGGGTGTATTGAATCTTGCTTTATAGACGGGGGCACCGGCCAATGCAAGTCTTGTTGCTGTATCTTGCACTGGGCATATGTACGCATAATCTCCATAGGCTGCGGCAATACGTTCAAATTGCAAGGAGACATAATTCGTGTTTGCAAGTAGATTCTTTGCGTTTGTTTCAGGATACAATGTCTCCAGTTCAACGAGATCTGCGTTTGAAAGAGCTGGTGCGAGGTTGGCCCAGAAATTGAGAAACTCTTCGGCGCGGTGTAGATCTTGGGGTGCAAAAGACTTGCCTTCGTCCGTGGTGGAGGAGATCAAGACGGGCATTTTGTAAAATGTGCCGTCCTTGCCCGATTGTGATCCGCGCTTTTCCAGCAAAGGGCCTGGGGAAACTGGTTGCCACGGCCAAGTAATGTTGTAGTTGTGTGCGTTGTACAGTGAGGTCGATATGAATTGAATGTCATCGGCTTCCGCAGAGCGGAGACACTTGAGAGCTGCCGCCCCAGGCGTCAATGGACAATTAATGTAGTCCATAAATTGCTCTACTTGTCGCTGGTACAATGCGCTATCCACGCCAGGAAATGCACGCGCTGTCGGAGAACCGGAGGAGAGAATAGCCTGGCTGAACAAGGGTTTCCTGCCTGCGTCGTCGCCATAATGATGGAACAAGTGAATACCCACGGAATGACCGCCCGCACTCTGGCCTCCAAGAGTAATTTTATCTGCATCACCGCCAAACTCGCCAATGTATTTTTGGACAAACTCCAGCATTAACCTTTGATCGCGGATACCTAGGTTCAATAGGTCTGCCTCTTCCATAAACTTGGCTGGAAGGGTACCCAGCGCGCCTAAACGGTATTGCACGGTGACCACCATCAAGGGCTGCTTACTCTTCGCCACAAATGTGGCACCATCAAAACTCCGGTGGGAACCAAAGACAAAAGAGCCCCCGTGAAGGAAAACCAAGGCGGGAAGTTTCTTTCCCATTGGTATATTCGATGGCCGATAGACATTGATGGTCAGACAAGCCTCAGACTGCCCGACCGAGTCATACATATTCTGGAAGCAGGCGGGTCCCGAGGACGATGCATCTTTTGTGCCATCAAAAGCTTTGGGCCATGTGACAGGCTTGAATCGATCAAGATCAACAGGCTGAGTGGCATACTCTATTCCCATCCATGCATCCACAGGCCGATCCAAAGATGCCGTCTTTTTCAAGTTTTTGAGTATTTGGGTGCCTTGGAAGGATCCGTAGCCCGGAAGAGTAACGACCAACGGTCCATTTGGCTGTGCTGGTGGTTTTGGGGCCGGTTTTGGCGAATACTGCCAGTTGTCTCCGAATGCTCCAAAGTACCAGAAGAGAAACACAGTTGTGATGAAGAAGATAATGCCAAGGGTCAGCCGTCGTTTGCGCCATCTCAAGGAGATCGGTCCGTGCATGTTGTGGTCCGCCTCACCCGAGGCTGGCATACGTTGCTGGTCCTCCATATACCAACTTTGATGAAGGTGCTTGCTATCTCGTTTAGATCCAGAAGCAGGTTCTGTAGGTCAGATGCGCGGGTAGTTCGAGTTCATGGTTGTGTAGGATGATGAGGACTAGAACCAACAGGTTGACCCTAACCAAGATGACGTTCAATGACCTAACTTGACTTAGCCGATTGCCGAGACACCCAATGCCTTGCCATCTTTTGGCAGGGATAGATTTGCACCCATTTTCCTAAGCATAGGTCGTATAATACTTGAGCTCTGTTGTAGACCTGCTTCCATGTATAATCTTCTTTCACGCAATATGCAGTGGACACGAAGTTTTCGCTCAATATCCAGCACTTGAGTAGCAGTACAACGACCCAAATTGTTCATCAAAGTAGGGTAAACATGGACCAGCCTATTGGAGGGCTCAGGTGTTACTCAACAATAACACAAGACTTGAAACGGCTTTCGTTTGATATAATCGCAATAGTGAACAACACTTCCATGTCATGAAATGCCTCAAAGAACCTCGAATGAATAATCTCTCCTTGCCCCTCAATAGCAGAAGAACAAATGTCTGTTTGAGCGTCTGGTAGACAGAAGCAGGCGCAGTTCATCCCACATCCGAAATACTCAAGAACCAAAGCTATGATACAATGGCTCGTTGAGATATGTGCAATGCATTGTAGGCAGTGCCATCGAGCATAACTATAGCTATGCAATTCTAAGCTTTAATTCCCTTTCTCGGACAATTCCTTCTCAACCGCATCTGCCATCTCAGCCTAGAACGCGTTAGCAGAACAGTTCAAGGATAATGGACCAGAGTGCCTACCAATGTGTCGAACTTCCAGTTGCACACGGGATCATCCCTATTTCCCATGATTGCTCCAGGACGATAGATCCAGCTACTCTTGATACCCATCTCCTTGGCTGGATGATGATCATGGTACTGACTCTGTGCAGTCTGAAGCACCTCGTGCTTCTCCACACCAAAAGCCTCCTTGACATGCTCGAGCATGTACTTGAAGTTCTTTAGGTCGGGCTTGTAGCTTCCGATATCCTGGGCCGTGTAGACGGCATCAAACTTGAAGCCCTGAAGTCCATTTGCATTGCCCTTTTTGAAAGATTCGTTGTCGACATTGGACAAGACAACCAGTTTGTACACTTTGCTCAGCCGCTTGAGCGCTTCTACCGTGTCTGGGAACGCAGGCCAGTCACCTACACTCTCGCCAAAGGCCTCGGTCTCGTCCTTGCTCGGCTCCACGAGCCCGAGTTCCTTGCAGAGTTTAGGATGCACAAGCTTCAAAAGGTCGGCGTACTTCATTGTCGGGTGCTCATTTTGTTCCGCAGACTCGATCCTGTGCAGAAATTGCAGTATGTACTTGCGATCGAGCGTGCCGGCCTTGCCAGACTTATTGAGCATGGGCTCCAGTGCGGTAAGCGCTCCACGCTCCCAATCGATGAGCGTGCCATATACATCAAAAGACAGGAGCTTGAAGTCGGTGAGTTTGGACATGATGGTCAAGCTAAAGAAGATACGGTTGTTGTGAAGACTGGGGGGTAGTATGATTTGAAAACTGGATACTAAAGCAAGCTGTAATGTCTACTTGGATTCTACACCTCAACTAGAGTATGCTGGACCGGGCAGTTAACTCATAATGACTCAGGTGTTACCCACTGCAACGCTCTTGGAACCCCCACTTCGGGCGATCAAGTAGCGGGGTAGCAAAAAGCATCGCGCCTGATTCCCTACGGCTTTAACAGGTTCACAGATAGCGTAAGGATCATTCGCTCATCTCGATTCTTACGATAGGCTGTAGGATTCTAAAAAAGTCCCATGACGTCTCCTTGGCTGACGATGTTGCCAACACGATACTACACAGTTGATGAATTGCGAGACACCCGTGATGACGCATCACCGATACTCAGAAAAGTAACTGTATTTACTCTTTTGTATTCGCTGTTTGCATCATCGACCAATATAACTCAGTGGTACTATCGGCATTCATGACAGAGACGCTTAAATATTATATACGCTTTCCCTTCTATAGATCGACAGGGTCAATCTGCATTGCGTATGGCAACTCCCCAACTTTCAATTCTAATATCTCCTTGGTCAATCTCCAAAGATTCAGCGATAAAGTGTTGTCCTTGGCTTGATCAGACGGTTCCGTAACCTTCTTGTCAGGTACAATGTACGCGTTCTGAATCTGCTCTTTGACAATATCATCCGACGTCGCTGCAAACAAGGCGGGCCGACATCCCTGACTGACAGGATCCTTCATGAACGGACGGACCGCTGCGACACCCACTTTACCCAGTACACCATATGCCTCCTCAGCCTGTTTTTGTTGGTCTGTCGCTACACCACCAGGATGAGTCGCGTTGATATAAGGCAGGCCAGTGGCTGCGGTGACGGGTCCAAACTGGCCCTTCTTGATGCGAGCATAAAGTTGACGAAGGAAGAGGATTTGGGCGAGCTTGGTACGATTGTAAAGATAGGTAGCGCCGATATTCTGATTGATCTCGGCAATGGACTCGAACTTCCATTCAGCCTTGGAAGCCCGGTGGAGATCAGAGGACTGGTGGACGATGCGAGAGTCCTGTGTCTTTTGGAGTACCGGTAACAAAGTGAGGGTGAGATGGGCCTGCGAAAAGACATTGACCTGCATGTGACTGTCCAATCCGTCTTTTGTTTCGTTGTAGACGCCTACTCCAAGTCCAGCATTGCACACGAGCGCATCCAGCCTCGTCAACTCTTTGGCCAGCGATCTCGCGACTTCGTCAGTCTGTCTAAGGTCCTCGAGGTTACATTGTCTCCATTCGACTTTGCTAGCATCGCCCCATTCTTTCAGAGCTTCTTGCGCCTCGCTTGCGTGTTGTTCCTTGTTGGAGAGCAAATAGATTTTGGCAGCATTGTGCTGAAGGAGATGAGCGACGATTCCGAACCCGATTCCAGCACTCCCGCCCGTGACCACGTAAACCTAGATATTGATCAGTGAACAAATTCTTGTTAAAGAAATTGAGTGGTCGTACCTTGTCACTCAGGTCAGGGACGTCGGTGTTGGGATCGAAGCTTCCAATGACTGATTTCCTGATCTTCTCCATGTTGACTATCATAAGTATCCTACTGTTCAGAGCCTTCTGAAAGGATTTGCTAGTTTGCAAAGTTGATAGTGTGAATAAAGAGCAAGCACAGAAGTAGCTGTGTATGTTAACAGCACGTTAGGTACAATCGTGTCGTCATGATGAAACACGAGTGTTGGCGAACGTGGATCATATTGGCTACCACTCTTGAACAGGAACTGCATGCAGCCCTATGATGCAAGAATGCATAGGGTATCCTCATCAGACACATCTCAAGATCAGCGATGCGCTCGACAAACGATAGACATGAGCAGATCAGTTTCACGTTCAATGACACAGTAAGAGTCACGTGCCGCGCGGCTTTGGCGCACCGTTGGGATCGAGTGCGCAACATGTCTGGAGTATGTTGGCAAACTATCAAAGCCTGATGGGGATGGTATAGGATGGAACAATCCCAAAAAGGGCCACTGCGACTGGGGTAAGACTGTGTATGCATAGAAGTGTGTATCGACAGTGGTACAGATTGATTGTTAGATTCTGCTGTTTGCCCCCCTGTACGAGGTTGCTCTGAGTTGAGATGGATGGTGATATTAAAGTCTGCCTGTCGCAGAACATTGATATTATACAATACATATATGCAGACTCTTTGCAAGGTAGTAGGGGAGAAAGTATGGCGGGGTATATGGCGAATGGAAATGAGAAGCTTCCAAACCGCCGTTCCCACCCACATCTGCCTCATTTCCTCATGACATGCTGCACACTGCGATTACGGAGAATTAATCCTGTGACTGGGATGTTGTACAAGTAGATCTTACAGCCTCGCTCGTTTCGTTCGAGGTAACGGTATGATGCGCCGATGTGATTGCGCCAAAAAACATGAATCCCAGACGTACCTCTTACCTATCTTACACTCTTTATCATATATCAACGCATGACAAAATATTAGCACAAGTCCAGGGGCTCCATCTGAAAAGATAGAACTCCATTAGGCGACACCACCACGTCGTAATGATGGAGCTTGCTGCGACACATCACTTGCTCTTACTGCCCATCTTTGGACTCATAGGGAAGAGTTGCATACTCTCTTTCCTCTTTGTCACAAATCGCAGATAGGCTTCGAGCGCCTCAATCTGCGTGTCATATGTGTCTTTGCGATTCATCCACATCTTCAAATATTTGTCCGAACCAGTGTCTTTGAGTGCGGCGTACCATTCGTTCGATGATGTCTTCTTGAGATTGAGAGCCAGGGAGCGACCTTGAAGGCCGGTGACGCTGGAAGCTTGTTCTGTGGGGGAAGAGTCTTAGTATCTGTACGTAATCTGGTGGCTGCAGAGGAGCTTGGGCTGAACTTACTCAGGATCGCTGCTCGCAAATCGGCGACCTGTTGATCGCCTGGTGTGAGTTCTGGCAGATCGTCATCAGAACTAGATGATGAGGTACTGCTAGCAGACTTTGAACGTGTAAATCTGGGTCGCGCAACTTTTGAAGGGGTCGGTTTCGCTGGCGTCGATTTTGTTCTTGAAGGTATAGGCTTCGACGGTGTAGACTTGGAAGGAGCGGGTTTTGAAGGCGCTGATTTGGCTGGCGTAGGTTTCGAGGAAGAGGATTTGGACGCAGATGGTTTAGATGAGGCAGCTTTTGGCGGAGTCTTTTCCTTTACAGGTGAAGCTCTTGAAAATATTGATTTTGCAGGCGCTGCTTTCGAGGGTGTTGATGGCGCTGGCGCCGTGGCTTTAGCAGGGGCGGCTTTCGCTGCTGGTGCTTTCGACGGCGTTGCTTTCGATCGTGTTGATGGTGGCGGTGAGGGCTTTGTGGGTCTCGCAGCAGGCTTCGTTGGCACTGTCTTGGTGGTAGTATTCAATGTCTTTGATGGTGCTGGTGGTGGCGGCGGTGGTGTCTGTATAGTTGCTTGCCCTCCATTCAGAAACGCCTGTGCACGCTCTCTTACACTTGGAAACATGTTTGGAGTTGTAGTATGCGCGCAATCAGATTAAGTAAAGGAGCGCGAGATTTCTAGAAACACAAGAGTGAATAAGAAAGACAGATGAAAATACGAGTACAGCAACGAGAGACAAGTAAAGGCGCGATATGAAATGAATTGCGACTTGGGGCCGTCGTACACTTTCAATAATCGTCTGCGATGACATGGCACGTCCCTTCCCGCATCAGCCAGTATGTGATCCGACACGTACGACCTAGGATGCTATGTACTCCTACTAATGAGCGAGCCGAGATTTCCAGAAGGTCTGCCTGGAAGTGGCAAGTCTATGTAGGGAGAACGGGGCCGTCGGCTGAGCTTGGTAGGCGCCGCGTTACCCGTGTGCCGAACCAAATGATGTTGGTCCTCCGCTAGATAGATGTCATGAAGTCGGTTCGGATAGAGTCGTGCATGGCGTCGACTCGGCTTGCGACAGGCGCATCATTGCCTATATACTCGGCCAGTTAGACTTCGGAGAGGGCTCGAAGTTGGTATGTATTCACTTGTCATTTCGCCTCCGAGGAATAGGCCTCGAAGCTGATGCGAGCATGAATACCTAGGTATAGGTGTCCTGTTAAGGGGGATTCTAGAGTGGCCCATGGCGTTTGCCCTTTCCCCGGATTGGCGCGGAAATTGGACTAGGAACGAGGTGAAGGGACGGCATGTCCATGACCGATTACGACGTTGACAAGCATACCCAAGACATGCTCTTTTTGCGCAACAGTAATGTTACCTCAGCTCACGGTATTGGGTGCGGCTGTACGGAGTAGATGAAAAAGAGAGATGGTTGATGGGTGAGACGTGTGTCCTCCAGATTGCTGATGCGTGGCGGCGAGCAATCCAGAACACAGAGTGGTTGAAGCTTGGCAGCTGGTGTTCTAACTGAATGTGGATTAGCGCTGTTTCAGTCCCAAGGAAACCCCTTTTTGTCTGGTTCCGATGGCACATCGCCATGCCGTTCGCATGGCGTTCGCAGGCCATCTGATGCGTGAAATGGATTCGTGCATTAGCTCCTCATTCGATATCGATACACACGCATGTCCAGCACGGATGATCGTTGGTGAGGTAATGTGTACTTGGGATGGAAAAATGCGTGTCAAAGAAGTAACAGCTAAGTAATGCAGTAGATGATAAGCATAAGTGAGATTTGAGATTTAGGCCAAGGTGCATGTAAACCTAGACGGAAAACTTTACGGAGTAGTGGTTTTATATGGTGAGGGATGGCATTTTGGGAAATTATGGGGAAGATTGGGTCGAGTAGATGTGGTTGTGGTGTGTTATCTGCCACCACAGTGATGATAAGGGACTGGCTGTCAAGTGTCGGGAACGAGGGTCAATGGACATGTAGGATGTTACTGTGGTAGTTACTGGGGTTGATGACTTGTGCACAAGGCCAAGTTGGCTGTGTGGCTTCACTGGGTGCTTTTGCGTGTGGTCGATTGGGGAACGGCTCTTTTCTTACACAGCATTTGATGCTTGAGCGGATGTGAATACGTACATGTACATGTACATATATATATACTGAATGCATAGCTACCGGCCCCTGATCAATCATCCTCCCATTCCCTAACACTAACAAACCAACAGATCAACATCATATATATATATCCTCACGCCGCCGCACTAACAGGCTGGATCCCCACCTCGGCCATCTTCACCGCATCCACACTCTCCATTGGACTATCGACGACATCCGTCAAGCCCAAATACTTGAGATTAGCCTCCCAGCCCAAGTCATCGCCAAAATAGCCCTTCATAACGTCGACACCATACTTCATGCCACCCACCGGGTCATATGTCAGACACTGCTTGCCCACTGCCAGACCAATCACGGCCGCCCACTCTGGTAGCTCCGTGGTCGCATACGGCTCGGCACCGGCAGCGAGTTCAGAGTTGAGGATGGCTGCATAGATGTTTTGTGCGGCCGCTTGGCCCATGACGGTTGCAGAGCCTGCGCGCTTGATGCCGGACCACGCGATCACGTCGCCAACACCAAAGTGCGAAGTTGCGTTTGGGATTGTGTCTTTGAACATGAGGGATTGGTGGACCATGATTTCCTTGTCCTCGTTTAGACAGGCGGCGGGCACTATGTCAGTGGTGGGCACCCCCTTTTTCGTCGAGTCGATGACAAAGTCTGCGGTTATGCTGTCGCCGTTGGCTAGCGTGACTGTGGATTGCCCGTTGGGGAGCTCAGTGACCGTGGCACGGCTGTTGAGGACAAGATCCACGCCCTCTTCTTCTAGCAGCATCTTTGCGCGCTCCTTGACCTCGGTGGGGAGAGGTTCCGAGGATAGCACTTCTGAGCGGGAGTGCACCAAGGTGACGGCAATCTGGGGGTAATAACTCTTGATCTCTGCCGAAAACTCGACGCCCACGGCACCAGCGCCAATGACAACCACTCTTCTGCTCTCGTGCTTGTATGTGCCGCCGCCAGTGATCTTGTCGATGAAGGCTTTCCCATCGCTCAAGTACTCGTCATAACTTGCCGACTTGGGGACAGCAGGCCAATGTCTCTTCAGTCCAGTGGCCATGACAACATAGTCATACGCTTGTTGCTGCGTCTTGCCATTCCGATCGCACCACTCGGCGACCTTGGCCTCTGGATTGATCTTCTGGACACTGCCATGCTTGAAATGCAGATTCGAATGCTTGAGCTCGTTCAAGTGGCTAAACCGTTTCCACATGTGGCTGGTGTACTTTGGCGTGACATGGGCAAGCGGGGCTCCAACAGAGTGGACTGCAAGATAGGCTGGTTAGTACAAGAAGTGGTCCATACGGGTACGCACCATGACGAAGTGGCAGTCAGAGAACCGAATCAGACGACGGTTGAGGGGCCTCGGCTAAGGCCCAAGGAATGTGGAGACGAGAGGGAAATGACGCACAATACCCATCTCGTTCGTCAATCACCGTGATTTCGACGCCTCGCCTGCTTCTCGCTCCTTTGAAATCTGGACCCGGGTAGACACTCTGCCGAGCCTTGCCCTGTGAATACTCGAGAAGATTGACAACGGCAGAGATGCCGCCGTATGCACAGCCCACGATGAGAACACGGTGAGGATTCGATAGGCTGATGTTGCCCAATGTGTCTGTTAAGCCTTGCAGTCTCATCTTGAATATCAGGTACGAGGGGTCGAAGGGATTGGAGAAGGGGGGAGGGGGTTCAGGGAGATGATCTGATAAGATTACGCCTCGGGGATGGATCAGCCTTCTTATGGCCGCCCACCCGGCCGCAAATACTGCGACATCGGACAATAGGCCAAGGCCAAGGGTACCGGAAAGACGAGGGGAGCTTCCGTGTATGGAGTGAATGCACGATAGAGGTGGAGCGCTGCAAGAAGAGGGGGATGCGATTGGTTAGTCAGTTGGTCATGAGTTATCAGATCAGCTGCAAATTTTATCAGATCTGCTGGGGGGGGGGGGGGGGTGACTTGGCACGCATCACTACTACTCTACCAGGCATGCCATTCTCCCACCAGCCAGCCCCACCGTCGAGTGCCTCACCTACCGCAACCTACCGGTACCTAGAGTCAAGACTATACTTCGGACCCAAAAAGTCAAGAACCCGCTCTTGCGTTTATCGATCAGGTAGCCTGGAACTGATAGCCTGTCTTGCTGTAAGCAGCACTAGAGTGACTGTACGAGGTCCTCGGACCGGGTAAGAATGATACATGAATTGACTACACGCGTGGTACTTGGCGTGGATTGTACTCCTGCAAAAGAACAGGCTCGTCTCATCGTCTTCCTCCGTACCCCTCGAACATGCATCATCCTGTATCTTTACAAGCCAACCTAGGCGGAGGCCCCCCCCCCCCCCCCCAAAAAATCCAGCATGACTTCGTGTCCACGTACCATATGCGAGGTACCATGGGAAAGCCTCGACAACGGCACCGGAATCGAGAGCACGTCAATGGCTGCGATCATGGCGATGGTAACAATAAGGAGAACAGGGTCAAGGAGAGTTTTCAAGTGTGCACAAAGTGGCCGACCCTCCCACGACACTTTGCCCACACAGAGACAAACAACAAGCTGCCTCAGCGCAGGATACAGACGGAGAGAGAGAGAGAGAGAGAGAGAGAGAGAGGGAGACAGAAACAGGGGTAGTAATGGTCAGGCGGCAAACCTCAACGGGCGCAACGTCATCACCGACGTCGTCCAGGATATCGTGCCTGCCTTTTTCGAACCTGATCCAAGGACAAGTAGACGTCGCCTCGACCCAAGGGGAGCTAAGGTAGGCTATCTAGAAATCGGGAAACAGGTGCCCGTGGCTATTAGGACACGTCAGAATATGATCTACCGTATATGGAGGACTCTGCACGCACGGGTCTTCTCCTGCCTGACCGTATGCCTCCGTTTCTTCTGGATACTTATCAAACTGACTGGCGTCACCTACACCCGCCCGCACCGGAGGCACATAGGGCGCATCAATGTCCTTTTTCTGTAGTCGGTCCCACGTCACTTCTGCAAACCACGGATGGTTCATCACGTCTTTGCTGCCGCCGTGCAAGTTGCCCAGGCGCTTGGTGAGGTCAGGGGTGATGAGCTTCTGCAGCAGGTCGTGTGCATCGGGGTGGATATAAGGCGGGTATTTGACCCGCGACTTGAGAATGTTTTCGTAGATCTTCATAGGCGAGCCGCCGTCCCAGAAGGGAGTAAAGCCGCAGAGCATTTCGAAGATGAGGATACCCAGTGACCACCTGGGTTCTCCATTGTTAGTTTTCACAGGGGGAGAGAGTTTGCGCTCGCTCTGGAAGGAGGGAGCACAGGCAGAGACTCACCAGTCGACCGACTTGTTGTAGCCTTTGGATGCCACCACCTCAGGAGCCAGGTAGTCTGGGGTGCCGCAGAGGGTCCAGGTGATGTCCGGCACCTCTTTCGCAAACCCAAAGTCGGTAATCTTG